TTATTAGCAGATACGGCAAGTGTTGAGTGCCATGCGAAGAGGGGAGAATTTACGGTTTGAGGTATGATTTTGTCTCACAACTGATTTCAATAAATCCTTTCTAATATCAGTTCATCACATCACACTTTTTTTCTTCTAGTGTTAGTTTTAGATTTTCGGTATACTGAGATACATGATCTCTGTCGACATCTAAGCTGTTTTCCATCTTTAGATTTGGTTTTTGTATAAACAAAATGCATTGCAAGTTCCGTCGCACTTGGTATTTCATCTTGAATCATGATTTTCATTTGGGTATAGGATTATATGGTATTTGATCCACTGATCTACCATGGTATGGCTGAGATGCATGATAGGCATCGGGATATGCGCCTTGACGTTGACAACATGTCGTATGAGGTGTGTGTTTCATTCTTCCTTTTTTTCCCCCCATTTTATCACAATCTACCAATCTTTGCCAACTGTCTGTTTGGGAATGTAGGAGCTATTGGCACTTGGGGAACGCATAGGAGACGTGAGCACCGGGCTAAGCGAAGAGGTGATTCTTAAAGCAATGAAACAGCACAAACATACATCTGCCGCTGCTGAATCCCACCAGGACATGGAGCCTTGCTGTGTCTGTCAGGTATGAGCTGAATTTACTCTTGACCTGAAAATGTGGCTGCCTTTTTTACCCTTTGCTTTGTCTAGCAATGCTTTTATGGCTGTTCGCTTGCAACAAATTAACTTGTTTATATTATAGTATTAGAGGCACAGTAAGGCAAACGAAAACAGGAGTTATGTATTATCACATAGATAGATGCCTGTATGATTGACTATGTATCACGTTTTCTGTTGACATTGCAGTAAACCGTCCATACGTGTAAGATGGGTCGGTTAGGTTAATCTTTATGTTTCCCATTTTGGAGCTGATACTCAGATTTGACTTGTAAACTGATGCGTGAACCTTGATGCCTTTTTGACAGGAAGAGTATGCAGAAGGGGATGATCTTGGAACCCTGGCATGTGGTCATGAATTCCACACTGCCTGCGTCAAGCAATGGCTCATGCTCAAGAATCTCTGCCCAATTTGTAAGACGGTGGCTTTATCTACATAAGAGCACGGGTCCTTCATCATCGTCCTCTTTTCCTATCTCCTCCCAACTCATTGTGATCCTGAAAATGGAAGAAAAAGGAAAAAGAGAGATCGCGAAGAGCTCGGTTCTGTCTTACCTGCAATGATATTAAGAGAAAGAGAGTGAGTTGAAGGAAAGGAAGGGCGTGTGATGAATGATCCCTCTGTATGTGTGGAAGCATCATGTTGGATTACATAGGAGAAGAGAATAATAACTGTCATTTAACTCAAATCTTCTGAATTATTGGATAATGGATTAAGTCATTGTTTATTGTCTGTCTCAACTGGAATCTCAGAGTACCATTAAAGATTCTGTATTTGAGTGTCATTTGCTCTTAAGCTTTAATATTTTTGAGGTATAAATTGTTGCTTCGTTACCGTTGCTGTTGTGGTAAATAACTAAAATCAAATGGATTCTTTTGTTTTAAAAAAGAATTAAAAAAACAAATTAGGTTGTTAAAAACAGACACGCTCGGTGGGGATCGAACCCACAATCGTCTGATTAGAAGTCAGACGCCTTATCCATTGGGCCACGAGCGCCTTTGTTTGTTTTGAACTAATTTATATTTAATTTAATTTAAAAATCGACTGTCGCTTGGAACCATAGAAAAAAGGTCAACGATCATAGCTGACCATGTTTCTCCTGAATTGACCAATGAACTAGTTTTTGGTTGTTGGTATGAAATTTTTTTCCCATTTATTTGAAAGTGGTTAATTGGTTTTTAAAAAAGCTGTTTACATTCTAAAGACACCAAAACGAGTATCTTCTAAGGGACGGTTTGAAGCAGCAGAGAGACATAGTCCCAAAACTTTTCTGGTATCAGAAGGATCAATCACTCCATCATCCCAAAGCCTAGCCGTGGAGAAGTAAGGACTTGCCTCTCTCTCGTATGCATCCACCGTTTTATTTTTGAACGCTTCTTCCTCCACCTCCGTCCACTGCATCACACAAAAACGTAGACTCATGTCTCTCTCTCTCCATCAATGTTGAAAGAAAAACAGAGTGAAAGAATCGGTTTAGATAATATTTCATTCAATACCTTGACTCCTTTTCTCTTCTTGGTAGCTCTTTCGATTTGAGTTAGAACACCCGCAGCCTGCAAAGTTTTCAACGTCAAAGGAAACCAAACTGAATCTTTCCCCAAATTGGATCAAACAAAAGCGACAAAAACTGAAACAAAAACATAACTTCTATATGAATTTTGGTTCATTCAGTGCAATTTTGTTGACAGTTACAGTACTATTATAAAAAATAATTGGATTATAAACGCATTCCAATTCAGTTTGGCTCTGGATAAACAGTTTGGTTCAGTATGGTTTACCTGAGCGCCGCCCATGATCCCAATTTTGGCATTTGGCCACATGAACATGAAATCTGGACTGTATGCACGGCCACACATAGCGTAGTTTCCAGCACCAAAGCTTGCACCAGTTATAATTGTAATTTTTGGTACCTGAAATTAGAGCCGAGCTTAAATTCTCGCATATACTAATCAAATCTCTTGGACGGACACTTTACAAGAAAGTAAACATACCTTAGCACAGGATACTGCCATCACCATTTTCGCTCCAGATTTTGCAATGCCATTGGCCTCAGCTCTTGAACCCACCTATAAGCCAAAAAGGAGTACGTAAGATAAATAGAGAAACTCTTATGTCGCCACATGTTAGAACACAACACAAACACTTCAATTACCATAAAGCCTGTGATATTTTGGAGGAAAACAAGAGGAATTTTACGTTGAGAACATAATTCAATGAAGTGGGCTCCTTTTAGTGCAGATTCATTGAAGAGTATGCCATTATTCCCGATGATTCCTACCGTCTGACCATATATTCTAGCAAAACCCGTCACAAGCGTCTGCCAAAATAAGCTCCAGATAAGTAGCATACAAAGGTAATATCTTGATTAAAACAGATAAAGTCTAATAGGATTCTCTCACAGTGCCGTATTGTTTCTTAAACTCGTCAAATTCACTCCCATCAATAACCCGAGCAATAATAGACCTGACATCAAATTGCTGCCTGTGATCTACAGGAGCAATGGAGCGAAGCTCATTTATGTCATAGAGCGGTTCCTTGTATTCATGAGTTTTGCTTCCAAATGTTCCTTCCATCCCTTGCTTTGCAGCCATGTGCAAATTTTTGACAATGTTTCTTCCAATAGCAAGTCCATGTAGCTCGTCTGCAAGACTAGAGCAACTTCTTGAGGTCTACTCTAAAACATGATTGTTGGTTTCATATTAAATTGCAGAAAGAGATGAATGTACCTTGAGCAAAATAATCTGACACACCAGACACAGTACAGTGAACTGTGGCACCTCCTAAATCCTCAGCTGTAACTTCCTCTCCTGTAGCAGCCTGTTCAAAAGCTTTTTCATTTAGCTATATATTCTCAAGAAACTAATTAAGACTAGACCAAGGTAGAAATTAACCTTGACAAGTGGAGGTCCTGCCAAAAATATGGTACCATTCCCTTTCACCATTACACTTTCATCAGCCATGGCAGGTATATAGGCACCACCGGCAGTACACGAGCCTAAAACAATGGCGATCTGTGGAATTCCATCAGATGACATAACCGATTCATTGTAGAAAACCCTTCCGAAATTCTCCTTATCAGGGAAAACCTCAGCCTGTTTTGGAAGGTAAGCACCGCCACTATCAACAAGATATATGCAGGGGAGTCTGCACCGAGCAGCAATCTCTTGTGCCCTGAGATGTTTCTTGATAGTTATGGGATAATAAGTTCCCCCTTTTACTGTAGGATCATTTGCCATAAACATACAAAGACGGCCATGGATTGGTCCTATCCCTGTGATTATGCCGCCGGAAGGTAAAGGTTCCTCATACATTTCATGTCCAGCAAGCTTCAAGCATATTCATATCCGGTAAGCAGAGTAATCAAAAAAGTTTCAGATCAATACAAGTTCTCCATTCATAGGCCATATAGAGTTTATAAACATAAAATGCTAATTCTGTTTCCAGTAATGGTGTAGCGGCAACGGCATATCAATCAATCAAACTCAAGATTCCAACAACACTCGCATGTTATATATTATTCACTAATGGAGCATTAATCAGCAATAAACTACAAGTGGTAAATGTGAATTGAATCGAAACAAGAAACAAAACTGAAATGAACAGAACAAAACCTGAGAGAGCTCCAAAAAGGAAGAACCAGGATCAAGAAGCCGATCAATCCTCTCTCTAGGCAAAAGTTTGTTTCTGCTTCTGTTCCTCTTCACCGCCTCCTCTCCTCCTCCGGCCAATACCTAGACAACTCCACCGAGAAATACTTGTATCATTCATCTGCAAACAATCAAGACATCAAATCGATAGTTGAGCAGGTTTTACCTTTTTGATGTGGGAACGAAGCTCTGATAGGATCCCTTCCATGGCGATCGAGTTGCTAGAAAAAGCTTCCGAATTTCTATCCACTCCGTCCGGGAGAACGCCCACGCAGAAACCCTTTTGAAGTCGCCGGGAAATTCGAAAAGGATCGGGACCAGAATCGGTTCCTGGTCGCATCCGCCATTGTTGAATACTAGTAAACTCTTCCGAAGCTGATACTGCTCTTCTTCCCAGAATCCTTAACATTTTCCTTCTTCTCACTGTCTCTCAATACGGATTTATGATTTCACTTAGGACATTTATACACACTGTTCTGACTTCTGACTACTTGATTGTCTGTAATTCATATCCAAAGTACCAAAACTAAAGAGGAGATAAGATCAAGGAAACGAAAAAAACAAACTTTGTTTATTTCGCCTCGTTTCTTTAGTTGAGAGTCGTGTGTGACAGTCTCACTTGTGAAAAGCACAATTTTTGCGGAAAAAATATTGAATCTTTTATCCAATTAAGGAATTAGGCAAACGAGGATACGTCGACGTTTAAGTCTCGGAGTATTTGCTTTCTTCGAGAACTGTAGAGAGTAGAGTATATAAGATAAGACGCTCACTCTCCGTCTAGCCGTGGGATTTTCAGGCTGCCGCATCAGCAATCGTCAATGGGGTCTTTAGGATTTTCGATTTCCATGATAGCTTCTATGAGTCCAACTTTGACGGAGACGAGGCTCATACCTTCGATGGCTTGTGTCTCGACGATGGTTGCTCCGAGTTTGGCTTCTGTCTCTTTGGTTTCTTCTTCACCGGGGGTTAAAAGGAGCGCCCGCAGTTTTGGGTTCAGAGCTTCGATGTTACCAAGTATGGAAACAACTCCAGATTCCGATATTGACGTCGTGTCTTCTGCAACTACTAAAAAGGTCTTCTCTTGTTGCTTAACACATTCTAAGTTAAAGTCCCCAGCTTGTCTGTGTAGAGAGAGATTGGAGATAACTGAGAATATATATGTAGGTGCTTGTTCCGATTGGATATGGTACGGAGGAAATAGAAGCTGTTGTGTTAGTCGATGTTCTACGGCGAGCTGGTGCTGAGGTCACTCTAGCTTCTGTGGAACAGAAGCTAGAGGTTGAAGCATCCTCAGGGACCAAATTGCTTGCCGATGTCTTAATCTCTAAATGTGCTGATCAAGTTTATGATCTAGTGGTTTTACCGGTAAGCTCTACTTTGGCTGATTCATACACAATATTGGTTTAATTGAGGCCATTCTTTGAGCTCTTGTTTAATATGGTTTTGTATATTTTTCTTGGGATGATCTGAAAATGCAAATTGTGAAGGGAGGCATGCCTGGTGCTGTTAGGTTGAGAGACTGTGTAGTTCTTGAGAAGATCATGAAGCGACAAGCTGAAGATAAGCGATTATACGGGGCTATATCCATGGCTCCAGCTATTACTCTTCTTCCATGGGGTCTTTTGACAAGAAAGAGGGTATAAATCGAAAGGCTTAGACTCTATGTAAGCTAGCAACTACTCTTTCTTCTTCATGTTTTGATTTCTAAACTTGGTGTAGTTCATCGTGCAAGACAACGGGACATCCTGCTTTTTTCGGGAAGCTTCCTACATTCTGGGCTGTTAAGACAAACATTCAGATTTCTGGGGAGCTTACAACTAGCCGTGGACCTGGTACTTCTTTTCAGTTTGCTCTTTCCTTGGCGGAGCAGCTCTTTGGAGAATCCACAGCCAAGTCAATTGAAGAGTTTCTGGTCTTAATCCTATTCACTATACTTCTTTGGTTCGCTCTTTTATTTATCCATCTCGATATGCAATAATCTTCTCGCAATCTCTTCTTTGCCAATCATTTTAACAGATAGTGCGCGATGGTTACCAAAATCCTAAGAAGGAAGAGTTCAATAGTATTGACTGGTCTCTAAACCACATACCTCGTGTAAGTTGCATAAAGCTATGACCAATGCATTTCCATGGAATCACTCGAGGATATGATAATAACTGATGTTTGTTTTTCTTTTTAAGCTTCTCCACCTATGGATTGCAATTCTTCTTTATTCATTTCCTCTTCTTTCACGATCATTTTATTTTGGAAGCTGAGAAAGCTGGCTGATTCTAAGAACATCTCATTTTAATTTGAAAGTTGGCTCATCTGCAATTTTATCCATTCCACGTTTTATCTAAATTAGTTCTTTCATGTGGAATGATGCAACAACTACATCCAGGTTCTTATCCCGGTAGCCAACGGGTCTGAAGAGGTTGAAGTAGTCACAATTACAGATGTACTTAGAAGAGCCAAAGTAGATGTCACGGTTGCATCAGTTGAAAGATCTTTGCGGATTACGGCATCTCAAGGCACCAAAATTATCACCGACAAATTGATTGGTGAAGCTGCTGAATCATCATATGATCTAATCGTTCTTCCGGTGAGACTTTCTTCTAGCCTGCATGCCTCTCATTAAACTTATACCCTTTGACTAGTTCACCACAGTTGACAACTTCGTAGATAAGTCTTGCTATATACATTTTCCAATCTATGCCATAGCAAATTAAAGTGCTATGGGAAAGCTTTGACAAACTACATTTTTGGTTATTTCATTGTGAGTACTCTTGATTTCTTTTCTATGGTGGAAATTCCCTAGGGAGGCCATACAGGCACAGAACGTCTACAGAAGTCCAAAATTCTCAAGAAACTTCTCAGGGAACAACATGAATCTGGCCAAATAGTTGGTGCTACTAACACATCAACTATCATCCTGCATAAACATGGTTTACTCGAGGTAAACTGAAGATAATTCTTACTTTTCCTTGTTTTGTTGTAGACATGGACAACCCCAATTCACCGGTTTGAATCCTGTTGCAGGAGAAGAGAACGACTGTGTACCCTTTAGACACAGACGGCCCTTCGAATCATCTAATGATCGAAGGAGCAGAAGTTGTTATAGATGGAAACGTGATTACAAGTTTAGGGCTCGCAACTGTTACCAAGTTTTCCCTGGCTATTGTTAGCAAGCTGTTTGGACATGCTAGAGCAAGGAGCGTTTCAGAAGGGCTTGTGCATGAGTATCCAAGGCATTTAACACCAATTTAAAGGCATCTTGTTCAAGAAATACAGTTAGAAGATGGCTCTTTGGTGATCTTAAATCGAGGTCTTGTGTTCTGATGGTATCAAACCATCACCAACTCCAGAGACTTTCGTGAGTATCTGTCAAATCTTACCCTGCAGGCTGAAACTGGATGATATCTACAAGAATTTTGCCAAAAGTTTATTTGCATCTTATGTTGTATACCTGGTTGGATATTCCAGATGATGCTAAACTTGATGTTTCATTTAATGTATTCACTCTTTTATATAATATATAATGTTGTTTGATTTGGTCCCAAATTGATCGCTTGTGAATGAGACCAGTTGCAGACAAGCAACATTACCAGCAAGATCATTCCAATCTGGTTAAGTCACAAAGATGTTCTAGACACTGATCAAGATCTGTTACATCAGGACGATAAAACCAAAAGATGCTTCAGAAAAACAGAATAAAAAGTGTTGATCTATCTCTGTCAAACCGGCCACATTTCACGATTTACAACCACCCATAGAAATGCCTAAACTACATACAAAGCTAGCTTTCTATTTTCTCTGTTGTTCTATAGCTTCTGCGCTTTGTTGAGTTCCTTGGACAATATTATAAACTCTACCAGGGACCCGTCAATGTCCTTCGCAAGCATTGCCTTTTGCATCCCATTCCCCATGGCTGGCGCAGTGGCTCCAGAAGCTGCAACAACAAAAGCGCCAACTTCGGTTATATTCATGCTCGTCAGCTTAGTGTTATGAAATATTTGGAACTGAAACATATTCACTGATCTAATAATACTTAAAACAGAGTGGAAAATTAAAGATGTGGTGGCATATCTCACTTAATTGTGTAGCTTACACTGTTCTACTGAAACGCTAAAAAAACTGTCCAAAAGTGTGATTCAATACTGAATCCAAGTTCAAAGCTAGCCAACAACTATAAAAAGGATATTTCAAATCAAAACAGTACCTGATTTTTCTGCTTTTCCATGATTTCAACCTGCATGAAACATATGGTCAGTGATCACAACCACAAGAAAATAAAAAAACAGCCCAACTGAAAAATCTGAGATTCTCTAATGTGATAGGGAAGAAGCTGGACACACTTGTTTCTTCTGCAACTCTTCATTCAACTCTTTGAGTTGCGCAATTTCTGCTTCCAACTCCATCGTATAAGCCTGTCAGGCAACAAAGTGAAAAAAGTAAATAACCATTGTCACAGTTAAAAGGTTTCTCCAAAATTAAAACTAACACTCACTTGCTTGCGAGCGCGGGATCTTGCAGCTGATTCCCTATTCTTTATCATCCTTTTTTGCCTTCTCTCAATTACCTTCTCCAGAACTGCACCCGTTTTTCTTACTCGACCAAACATGTAAGGAGCAGGCGACAAAGATGCATCCAGGGCGCTCTTTGGAGTCAGATCAGGTGACATCTGGCTTCCAGGAGATACTGCTGCAACTGTAACCCCGGTTTTAAAATCAACAGCTTGCAGTAGATTGTTGTTCATATGATGGTCCCGCATTCCAAGAATTGAAGGCTTCACTTCCTGGAACTACGAAAAAACAGGCAAAAACAAGCCACGGTCAAATAACTGAAACATACTTTCAGATTCAAAACCAGCTTATCTTAAAACTTTAAAACTATATCTAATATTTATCGGATGATTGTCGTTCATAGGTTCTTAGTCACCTGTGTTGCAGGTTGAGAATGATTAACAGCCTCAACAGTGTTGGAAAACGCGATAGTGGTCTGTTTGGGAAAAGGCCTCTCCTGCTTCTGTATCAGTTGTTGCGGCTGGTGCACCTTCTGTGGCTGCTGCATCTGTAGTGGCTGAGTTTGAGTTGTCAGCAGATCCGGTCTCACCACTGCTCCATTGCCAGCAAGATCATGAGGCTGGTTAGCAACAATCCCATTACGAGCTGTCCCGAGACCTGCATTATTGCCAAATCCGTAAAAACCGGCATTGAAGTTATTTACACTCTCCACCGGTTGAGGTTCTTCCCTAACCACGCCGGCCCTGAGCAAAAACTCCTCCAAAGTCATCTCTCCCAGCGTTTGTTGTCTCTGGGGAATTCCGCTTGTCCCACCATTACCAACAACATTTCCAACGTCATCCTCCTTCATCAGCTCCTTCCAGACATCATCAACCGTTTTCTGACTGATGATACGAGGCAAAGTAAGTGAGCCTTGTCTCTGCAAACTCCCACCAGTGAGAAAACCACCACCAGTTTCTCCACCCACACCAACAGATAAACCGCCATTGTTGTTGATAAGAGCGTTCCCATTGTTGATGTTGTTGAAACTGGCGTTGTTCCCCATCATTGAGTGGCTTTCCTCTGCAGTCCATATGTTCTTCAAGAGCTCATCCATGTTCATGGACCCAAAATCCTTGCCAATTCCACCACCCCATGAGTTCTGAAACTCATCAAAGGTTAAGGAGAACACCGAGTTCTGTCTCGTCAATGGAAGAGTAGTCCCAATCATTGGCTGCTTTGGGTGAATTGCAGCTTCATCAGTCAGACCATCAACAAAGTTCTTGAAGTCAGTTCGGGACCCCATCACCTTCTTCTCAAATCAAAGCTTCTGGATTTTTTCCCTTCAAGTAAAAACAAACAAGCACAGGTTATGGTTTAATCATTCATATATTAGTAAAACTGTTGAATTTAGCAGAGAAGAAGCTAAAAAACAGAACTTTATGACTTATAGAAAACCAAAAATTAGTAAAAACAGCAGTAGTAACATCCGAATCCAAAAGAGACCCACGAGATATTTTACCGTGAAACAAGATCGGATTTTTAATCAACTCGAATTCGAAGATAGTTAGATCCCGTATTAACAGTTTATATAAAACCCTAGAGAAGAGTTCAAATAGAGAGAGACGAAGATAAGAACAAGCTAAGAGATAAAGTAGAATGATGTAAGTAAACAGAGAAAACTGAAAAGGGTAAAGAATCTCCAAAAACAGGAAACAAATCTCCAAAACACCCAATCATATGCTTATATTCGGCGGGAAAATTCATGATACTCATCGAATCAATGAATCAGAGCAGCAAACCAATCAGTAATAGACAACAAAACCGATTCATAACAAGGAAAAATCAATCAAAAAAAAAAGGATTTTTTTTTTTAATTTGAATAAAAATCAAGCAGCTCAGTCACACAAAGAACCAAAAAAAAAGGAGGAAGTTTTTATTTTCCTAACCTTTGGAAATTTTAATTTTTGTTTGCTTTGTGTATTGGAAAATCAATAATTCCACTTTGAGAAAGAAAAAATACCTGAAATGGTCAGAGAGAAAGAGAGAGAGAGAGTGGTGGAGACTGGAGAGAGAGAGGTCGACAGGTGTCCATGGCGTGACACTCGTCGAGATATAAAGGTGGTTCCTTTTGTTTGGATGCGGGGATTATTTTATCCTCGATAAGGTTATTATTATAAATTAGCCAATGTCCTCAATTTGACGTCAGATCGTGCGTGAGCCGTTGGGATTGGGCAACGTGGTCCAATTATAAACGCTCCTTTTTCTCATAATATCATTATCGATTCATTTGCGTTTCCCACGAATCGCAGTTCGCAAAGTGGAATGATATTGGCCGTTAGATTTCCTAAACGGCGTCCGAGGCCAAGTTGTATAAGTGGGTGTTATTGAATAATGTAATTTAAATTTAGATTTTTTTTTCCTCAAGTATACAATTAGATAATTTTAAGTTTTTAACCAATAAAAATTTTAAGTGAAGAATAATTAGTCGGATGGTTATTTAGGTCGAGATTTTGCAGTATTAGCAGGGATAATTTAACCAATAAATTAAATTCTAAGAGATGTATATATTCATTTTATTGTTTTTTTTTGTACTACGAAGAAATTTATTCACTTGAGTATATATTGTTTTTGCAAGGTTTTTAGTCCATATATAGTAGTAGTCTCGAGTTAGAGAGATTACAACATGTTAATCAAAAACTAATTCTCCGGTATGTATCAACCACATGACCTACTGAATCTTTGTATGATCTGATGATGGATAACTCAAAACCAAATGCTTCATCTACTATAAACCATGCTAATCTAATAATTTCAAAGGAAATAAATTGAGTTTAAAGTTTGTCAATTGAGAAAGTTAGAGATTTAGGAATTTTAGTGGAACTATGGAAAAGCGACTTATCCGTCTTAATGTATTCACTTATCAGCTATATATACGAGAAGAAACTATACGATATATAGTATTCATTCACTAACACTTACCTCACACTCTTATAAACTATAAACCACTATATTTTTATTATCTTATAAACTGATGAACTTATTACGATAGGGATCGCATTCCTTAGGCAAATCGACCGTGGGGGTGGTCCGCATTAACACCATTCACTACAACTTCTTACATATAGTTTTTAAATTACACACAAAAGATTATTATACGATAAGATTTTAGAAAAGTGGGAAGAAAAGAAAAAAAAAAGGTGGGATATATGGATGGAGGGAACAGTCCAGAATCTTTATCACGTCCGCTGCACCTACAAAGGGATGGGCATCGGCACACGTGGCGCACCCAGCACCCTCCTCTTAACACTTAAGTTTAAAAAAATGAAGCAACGAAATATAAAATTATAATAAGAAAACTCCATAATCGTCTCCTTTGTGTTGTGTGATCGTCTCTGCACATCATCACATGTGAGTGTGATCCTGTCTTCAATTTCTTTACTTTTATAATATTGTTTCTTCCCCATTATGGACTCTTTATCTTGGGACTCAGTTATATACAATATACAAGTGACCTTTCGTGTCTCCCATCTTTTATTCCTATTTTCAATCTTATAATTATAATATTTTTCTCTTGAGAATCTACTGGATTAGGAAAGTCTACTCTCTGCAAATACATTTGTTTAAACAATGGAGCCCTGAGATATTATTATATTGAATTCACATGGGACTCTTGACTCTAGTCTTTGGAGACGTGTTCTTTCCCCATTTAGATTTAAATCTATTGAAGTTACTTCTTCAAGGTCGTCGTGTGTAGGAAAAGTAGAAACAGGATGAGGAAGATTAACCATAACCATTTGTCGAAAATCCAAACACACACAAGAAAACCAATGAAACTAGGAATTAACAACATGAAGAACTAACACAAAAGAGAAATGCTAAAACGATATGATTAACTCATATAAGTGATGGCAAAATGACATGAATCCAATACGTAAACAGATCTTACAAAATCCATAGAGCTAGTTTAAATATGTAAGTTGCAATAAAACTGCAAGTCCGAAGAAGGCTTTGTAACGTTTCCTTTCACTCCACGGTAAGATAAATTGCTAAATTGAAAATAAATTATCAACCAATAAAATAGTATATGAAAAACCTAAACCACGATAATTAAAGAAGAAGAATATATGTCATACCCATTATTATTATTCTTGTTATTTTATATCTAGAAGAAATAGTTGTTAAATAGTAGGTGAACTCTTAGAAATACGTCTATTGATTAGAGATCTCACGATATCTTAGAAAGAAAAGAAAAAAAAGAAAAAAGGTATATGGTTTGAAGAAAGCTGTGAGTCTACTAATTAATAAACTATGTAATTCTTGTACTTTAATTTGTTTTCATATAAAATATTTTCATAGTAAATATATGCATGTGAAATGAAGATGCCCAAATAATGTGAGCACAAAGGTTCCATCGCACTCTTACACGCAATCCAAGTCATGTCATGTGGATCAAAGTTTCTCAACTTCAAGTGTGAATCACACAGATCATGTGTGTTCCTTTTTACATTCTCCATTTGCTTACTACAAAGTACAAACACTCCGTCTAAGTCTAAGGCAACGGCTACATATTATTTGGGCTACACCCAGGTACCAAATGTTTTGGGCCTGATTCGACTTTAGTCTTATTTAGCGTCCTTTTAAATTTTAGTACTTTAGACCGCACGGTTTACAATTTTAACCGGGTTCTAATTAAATCCCAAAAACACACAATGAAAAGAAGATAAAACCTTTGAACCGGTCGATCTGTTTTACTTAAATCGTGACGGCCGTCGCTAAAGCCTCCGTCGGGCTTTTCCATTCAACGTCGCTATATCGCCTCTCCAATTCTACCACCATCTCTAATTCACTCATCACCATTCTTCTGGGAGTCGTCTGAAGTTTTCAAGACCCCTGATTGCATGTATGTTGAGGTACTTCAATGGATAAATTATCTCTGAATATTCTCATCTTCCCTCGAAAATTTGATGAAATTTGGAACCTTTTCAATTGTCAGACAGGTTCCGACCTGCAAAGGTGGGCGATTTAGAGGAGTTTTGCAGTCCGTCGGAGCTATAGTTCGAGAATTTTCAACATCTGCAAATGCTTTGCAAGATTGTTGGAATCAAAGTAGAGAGATTGATGATGTTCACATACTTTTCAGATACTGCACTAATTTGCAATCAGCTAAATGCCTTCACGCACGTCTCGTTGTGTCTGAAGCAATCCAGAATGTTTGTATCTCTGCTAAACTTGTTAATCTCTATTGTTATACTGGGAACGTTGCGTTGGCTAGGCATACGTTTGATCACATCCAGAACAGAGATGTTTATGCTTGGAATTCGATGATTTCTGGCCATGGCCGTGCGGGAGATTCTTCAGGAGTTATTAGGTGTTTTAGTCTGTTTATGTCGAGTTCTGGACTTCGACCTGATTACCGCACTTTCCCTTCGGTTTTGAAAGCTTGTAGGAATGTGTTTGATGGGAATAAGATCCACTGCTTGGCTTTGAAGTTTGGATTTGTGTGGGATGTCTTTGTTGCCGCCTCCTTGATCCATTTGTATTGTCGGTATGGAGGGGTGGGTAATGCACGTAGGTTGTTTGATGAAATGCCCATTCGAGACATGGGTTCTTGGAATGCAATGCTTTCTGGATATTGTCAAAGCGGAAATGCTAAAGAGGCGTTAGCTCTGTCTGATGGCTTGAGAGCCATGGATTCAGTTACTGTTGTGAGTCTCCTTTCTGCTTGCACAGAAGCCGGTGATTTCAATAGAGGAGTTACGATTCATTCATACTCGATAAAATTTGGTCTGGAATCCGAGTTGTTTGTTTCAAACAAGCTGATTGATTTGTATGCTGAATTTGGTAGCCTTAGGGATTGTCAGAAGGTTTTTGACAGGATGATAGTGAGGGATTTGATTTCTTGGAATTCCATAATTAAGGCTTACGAGCTAAATGAGCAGCCTCTTAGAGCGCTTTCGCTGTTTCAGGAGATGCGGTTTAGTAGAATTCAACCTGATTGCCTTACTTTGATTAGTTTGGCTTCTGTACTTGCACAGTTAGGGGACATTCGTGCTTGTGGATCTGTGCAGGGTTTCACTTTAAGGAAAGGCTGGTTCTTGGAAGATATTACCATTGGGAACGCAGTTGTGGTTATGTATGCAAAACTAGGCCTTGTAGATTTAGCGAGAGCAGTGTTTAATTGGCTCCCAAATAAAGATGTAATTTCGTGGAATACCATAATATCTGGTTATGCGCAAAATGGTTTTGCTAGTGAAGCTATTGAAATGTATAACGTAATGGAGGAAGAAGGTGGAGAGATAACTCCTAACCAAGGGACTTGGGCGAGCGTTTTGCCTGCTTGCTCTCAGGCTGGAGCATTGCGTCAAGGTATGAAACTACATGGTCGTCTTGTCAAGAATGGCATTTATTTGGATGTTTTTGTTGGCACAAGCCTTGCTGATATGTATGGAAAATGTGGACGATTAGACGATGCACTCTCTTTGTTTTATCAAATTCCTAGAGTAACCTCAGTGCCATGGAACACTCTGATAGCGTGTCACGGGTTTCACGGGCATGGCGAGAAAGCAGTGATGCTGTTTAGAGAGATGCTTGATGAAGGAGTCAAGCCAGATCACATTACATTTGTGACTCTGTTATCAGCTTGTAGCCATTCTGGGCTAGTAGATGAAGGTCAATGGTGCTTTGATATGATGCAAACAGAGTATGGCATAACACCGAGCTTGAAACACTATGGTTGTATGGTAGATTTGTTTGGTCGAGCTGGTCAGTTAGAAACTGCGTTTAACTATATAAAAAGCATGCCGCTTCAGCCTGATGCGTCTATTTGGGGAGCTCTTCTCAGCGCTTGTAGAGTGCATGGAAACGTCGATATGGGAAAAGTTGCATCTGAACATTTGTTTGAGGTTGAACCTGAACATGTTGGGTATCACGTTCTATTGTCAAACATGTATGCTACTGCTGGAAAATGGGAAGGGGTTGATGAAATACGGTCTATCGCCCGAGGCAAAGGTTTGAGGAAGACACCGGGTTGGAGCTCAATGGAAGTAAACAACAAAGTCGAAGTCTTTTACACGGGGAACCAAACACATCCAATGTTTGAAGAGATACACAGAGAATTAACAGCATTACACGCGAAACTGAAGATGGTTGGGTATGTACCGGACCATAGGTTTGTGCTGCAGGATGTTGAAGACGATGAAAAAGAGCACATCCTCATGAGTCATAGTGAAAGATTGGCTATTGCATATGCACTGATCACAACTCCTGCAAAGACAACGATTCAGATCTTCAAGAATCTCAGGGTATGCGGAGATTGCCATAGCGTAACCAAGTTCATATCAAGAATCACTGAGAGAGAGATCATTGTGAGGGATTCAAACCGGTTTCATCATTTCAAGAATGGAGTCTGCTCTTGTGGTGATTACTGGTGAGTTTTTAGAAAAGGACCGATATTGCTGTATTCAAGCCGGTTCCAATCAATTTTGAACCAGGTTTTAAAAAAAAAATCTTGGTCAAGGAAGATATTGGTTGGGAAAAAGATTCCAACTTTGCTTAGGAAGGTTAAGTCACAACAAAGAAAGCTTCTTTAATTTCCGGGCAATGGGCACAGCCTGTCTTAGTCATGTGGACAGCTTGTGGTTTACTTTAGCAGAAAGTCACTCGCAAAGGACGAGACGTGTGAACGGTTTGAATCCTCTCTCAATGTTTGGTTCTAATATCATCAATTATTGGGTTACAGAACAGAAAATATGGGAACATTTTTTTCCTCCTTGATAAGAAAATATCTGTTGAAAATAATACTACTTTTTTGTTGAAACAGTGTTGTACTCAGTATTTTAATTAGTTTGTCGGATGTAATAAACTAATAATTACATTAAACACACATCAAAGCTGGTGGTAATCGTTTAACGAAACATCTAATGACTTTATTTTTTTTTTAGTTGTAATCGATTTTTCTTCTTAAATTAAGATGAACATGACAACTCCAATCGTTTTAATTGAATTTGTATAAAATCAACAACAACCCCAATAATAATTATTGATAGAGAGAATGAGAAAACACTACTTATTAGTACTTTAATAGCCACGTTTGTTAAAGACTTACCCTGCTGTGGACCGGTTCCGGTTGACCCAAATTGAATACTTTGATCAGAGTCTCTTTTTATTCCCTGTTAATTTCCATTTTCACTTCTTCCGCGTGGCGGTCAACGATGTCACTATTCGATGATTCTATTCTATGTTAAGTGAATTTTATTTGCGCAAGTCGTCGCCTACAGAATTTTCGTCAAGTTCTTCAGATTTGGTCCTCAAAAAAAATATACCTACGTTCTCGAATCATTATTATAACCAAAACAACTTGTTATGTTGTACAATGCAATTAAACGATCAAAAACAATTCAATCTAATGTTATAAATCTTACAAGTAATGTAGTAACATGATGAAGACATCTAAGTAAATTGTGTTGTTTCGTTGCTGGTAAAAAGGTAAACAATTCAAATTTAAATATTGAAGAAATCTTTCCCATTTATGATAATATTATCTTTCTCTTTATCAAACATACAATACCAATTTTAGTTAAACCAAAAGTAATAGAAATCGGAAACAATGATATAAAAGTTAATGCCACTTTTCAAAATTTAACATTTATGCCAATATAATAAACCAAATGTATATAAATAATAGAAGTGCTCCGCACGCGTTTTTGCTTTTGCGTATAGAATTAAAACACAATCAAAAGAGGACATTAACCCCAAAAAAAAAAAACCTAAGTCTAGCGGCTTTCAAAATGTCTAAACGCTTCGCACCGCCGCCTAAACCTCTAGTAAAGCAGCATTCGTGGTCGCCGGATGCGGATAGAGAAGAAGCTTGGCTAAAGAAAAAGGGAAAACGGCCAACGGGCAGACTTGGTCGGAGTAAAAGCGTGACGGACGAAGATCTGGAAGAGCTCAAGGGATGTATCGAGCTTGGATTCGGGTTCGAGCCGGATTCGCCGGATTTAGATCCGAGATTATCAGAAACTCTTCCAGCTCTTGGTTTATATTGTGCCGTCAATAAACAGTATAGTAGCAGATTGTCACGGACATCGTCTCTTTCCTCGATCGCATCGGAAGGTGAAGTCAGCAATTCGAGCACGACGATCGTTGATCAAGGTATGTGAAATTTTCTGAAACCACTTTTTAGTTTTTTTTTTTTTTGGTTTGATTATTTTTGATCTGACGGTGGAGAATTGTGAAAAGGTGATGATCCGGAGACGATGAAGCTGAGGTTGAAGCAATGGGCTCAGGTGGTTGCTTGTTCGGTGCGACAATTTTCCGGCGAACCAAATTGATGATGTTTGGATTATTGATTACTGAAATATTATTATTCTACCATTGAAATTATTGCTTGTTTGTTCTGATGTGATATATGTACAGAGGAATGACAGTTTTGTAATATAGATATGATTTTTAGATATTCAAATTTTAGAATCTAATGGTTTAACCACATTTATAATTTCATTTAATTTCTTCTTCTATCTGATTTTCAGTTAATTGTTTTTTTTTGGTTTGATTTTATCTTGTGTGTGTATGCCGTATGGTAAGAGCCGATTAATGTGGTTACTATCTTAAATAAATTGTGAATTGGTCGAAAGATTTTTTTTTTCTTTCTGTAAAATCTCTTTAAAGATGTGAATCAAAGCCTCATAAGACATGTGTAAGCCGTCAACGTGAGTAGCTATCGTGAGAGGTTTATAGGGATGTATATATATCTTCAAGAGCCCAAGTATCACAGCCTTGGCTTTTCTTATTTACGTTAACCAAAAAGGTCCGGCCGTGCATAGTGCATACAATTCTTTTTGAACTAATGACCATGATAACCTGTTAAATTAGTCTTTAATTTTTTCGGGTCTCATATGTTAATATAAGCTCCTCTCAGTTGCTACTGTTCGAATTTGAAACTTCATAGTTCTTTTTGGTATCGCGATATCAAATATATATATACAAGCTAGTGTTTTCAGTTTTGATGTCATTTTATAGTGTCGTAGTGTAAATGTGGACGGTTGGTTTACTATTTCGTGATGCAAGTTCACAAAATCGTAGCATTTGTTTCTAGAAGACACTTGTTACGTACTAGGACTTGAGACGACAATTTGAGACAGCTTTATATAGCAAACCAAGAAAAAAAGTCACGATCTACCGATGGATACTTTGTTAGGTTTTTTTAAATGGAACTGCATATCCCTTAAACATGTCGCAAATTTAGCTTGTGTAACACAATCATACATACTTCAAATGATTCCACGATGAGGTTGACATGCTTTGTTAGTATATATGTACGCAGTAGATGGATACTAGTATTCCCAAAACATGGTATAAAAAACAAAGATTAAAAGAATCTTTTAGAACAACTATGTAACGTAACGTAACTATTATGGTCAAGCGTTTTCGATTTTGATTCTACACTATTATATTGAGTGATTTCGGTGAAAACACGAGATAAGATGTATGGTGATGGTGTTGCATGTTCAATTGATGACTGAAACCGACAAATACATGAATCATTATTATATTATAAAAAGAAAACAGTGTACATGAAAGAAAATAATGACAATCCATAAACATGACTACTGAAAATTAATGACAATCCATAAACATGATAACTTAATTAGGATCATGTTTACGTGACTATCCACAAACATGAAAATGTTTTGTACGAGTAAGACGTAGATGTTAAATTCTGCTAAAATTTAGATCCACATTTTAAAAGGAATTAGCTATGAATATGATTAGCTTTAACATAATTCAAGAACGTGTGAGTTTTTCTTACGATATATACCATTGTATAGCTATCAGGATCAGTTGTATGTAAATTCATAGAGAACATCAATGGAGGATCTTAAAGAGAATGATCTCAATGGGCCGGGTATGTGTAACAAACATATTTCTAAAATAAAGAATCTAGAAAAATATTACGATTGAATTGTTTCCAAAACCTTGTTAGAATGAATTAGTTTACTACTATAAAACTTGTAAAGTTTGGAATTACAATATTATACATAACAATGCACAATATTTATAGGTAGAGAGTAGTACAAGCAAGAAGATCTCAGAAAAAGAAGATCTCCTATGAACCCATCTCAATTTGAGATGGAATCTATTAAAAAAAGATAGAGAAACATTTTTTATATCAACCAATAGCAAAGTGGTCTTCATTCATTTAGGATATAATAAAGAAGTGGTCTACATTATTAGAATAATATTTATTGTCCTGCAAGATATTTTTTTTTGGTTTTGGCTGTGAAATGAAAAGGGCTGTCTAAGATATTTTTATTTGTTGGTAAGTAGGAACGAAGCGCCAGATATTTTTATTTTTTCGAAGCAACCACTGCCCACGTCAACAAATGGATATTTCCGATACCAATGGCTATTTTTTAATTATGTTTTTTTTTTCTTTCTTTCTTTTCTTTCTGATTTATCCCTTTCAACTTTTTATATACTCATACTTGTCGTTATCTCATTATCCAAATTCAAATCACATTTTTTTTGAAAATTAGTAAGTAACTGTATAAATTAACCATTTTTGTTGTTTTCTTTCTATTCATTTCGATGATCAGCATTCTAGAATCATGTAGATAATTGATAAGAAAATAAAAGATTTTAATTTGTAACATCAGCACTGAAAAATAAAATAAAAGAAGAAAAAAAAGAAAAACATCATTATATAACCATTAAATTAGTTTATATAACATGCATTCACATTTCATTTTGATATTATTTACATTTCTTAAATAGTACACAATTTATCAACGATAATATGAATATGGAGTAAGTGCAAATGTGACAAACTGTTTGGCCTTTAAAAACGAATAAAATATAAACATAACCTCCATATTATACTATACTGTATGTGTATCAGAATCGATCAGACTCTTCTCTTTATCTAATCCTGACCATTTTATAAAATATAAAAATCTACACAACTCGTGACGAGTATTATATTGCGTGTTGGACCAACTTGTATATGTTTTTGGTATATATAATGCATATTGTTTTCGAGAATCTCTTAGGTTAAAACTTTTAAACCGACAACGTTTAGTCATCATCATCATAACCAATAATTCACTGATAAGGATGCATCATTCATCTACTTAATTTACCTTAAAACTCTCAAATGTGTGTAAGCATCCTAGTTTTGCTTTGCTTCAAGTTTATATTAAAAAAAAAAAAAAAAAAAACATAAGGCCAAACCCTAGAGAGAAGCTCACACGAATCCTGATATTTACAAAACATATAAAAACCATGAGATCATCATGCAACTTGTTAAAGAGGCATCGGTGTAAAATCTTATCAAATCTAATTTAACTTACAAAGAATTATAAAAAAAAAAAAATGATATAAAGACAAGAAACAAAATGTAAAATATAATTGAAAACTCTGACGTTTTTAATAGGGACGAGAGCATCCCATTATCTATATCTCATCTAATTATCTAAAGTGAAAGTTGAAAAGAAAAAAAAAACAAAAAAAAAAACAGAACCTCCTCATTTCGTTTCGTTTGAGAGCTTCCAAAAAAAATATCTCCAGTTGATATTTGTCGTGAGATATTTATCAGCGACCCTGATGACGTGGCAATACTATGACACGTGTAAAAGCGACGCCATGTGGATCTTTTCTCTTTTTCCCCCTTTCATCCCTCCTCTCTCGTCTTCCTCATTCCTTCATTCTTCTTCATTCCTCTCTCTCTCTATCTCTTCTCGTTTTGGCTATTTCGAAGAAGAAGAATAATTTTTTTACCTAAGAGAGCACAACACGGCACGCAGATTCATAGAGGGACGATGGATAATGATTTCAGGATGAATATAGTTTCTCTAGAGATGGATCGCGACGCTGCTGCTGAGGCTTCTTCTGAATCTCACGGCGAGTCGACTCTATCTAACTCGCTCGAGTCCGCTGTTACCGCTGAGACCTCTCCTTCTCATGCAGATTCGAAACTGGTAACCATGATTCATCAATCTTCTTCCTCTTTATCTTATGTGTTTGTTTCCTAAAGGGTCTCTCGCTTGATATTATTTTCAAGGAGATTCTTCGAATTTTTGTTGCCTTGGAACTTGATTCGTTTATTACAAACTAAAAAAATCATCTTTTGTTTTGCTTCTTCTCCTATGGTGATTCTTAGATGTTTTCGTAAGTATCCCACAAACCAAAATTTACGAAAGATAATAAAATATCTTCCTTTGTTTGTTGTTATCGATTTGGAAACTAAGTTATGTTAGCTTTGTGCCATATATGGGAGGAAACTTCAGATCTATTGCTATTGATTCTATTATACTCATTAATTACCAAGGAGATCTTGTTTTGCTTTGGTTATTTTTATTCATCTCTGGTTTCTCCAATATGTGTGAAGAGGTGTCGCAAATAAGTTATATTCTTCAATTCAACCAAATGTTTTGCTAAATGGGACTGCTTGGGTTTCTTTTGTCCCTTATTAGCAGAAGATTTTGATTGTTCAACAAGTCTTTGTGGACACGCCGAGGCAATCTCATGCCTGATCTTGAGATCTATTACTAACCCTTGCAGCTATCTATCGATCAGAACTATTTCCAACGGCCTAGTCGATGAAATCCTTGCTTGTAACTAGTTTTCTTTCTTCTTCCAAGTAGTCAAATTATAGCTGGTGATTTAGTGGTTGCAGTTGCAAGTGGTTACCTTTTTTTTTAATTGTTTGACAACATGCCTTTGGATTATTATTGCATCCCTTACTATTGTCTAATCCTTTACTTATGCAATGATGTAATGATTTGTGCATCCTTACGTTGTGTCGTAAAAAGTAAAACTTGTTTCTTAGTTACAGCTGAATACTGGTTGATTAAGTGTGTTGTGATGGTTTAGGACAGTTCTCAAATTTTATTCTCTTCTTCAGTTCTTCCTGCTTATATTAACATCATTATCGTTTCTTTTTGCAGGGTGAATGTGCTGAGTGGACGAATGAGAAACACAACTCATATCTTGACTATTTAGAGAACTCCTTTGTTAGGCAGTTGTATTCCTTACTTGGAGGAGGGACTCAGAGACTTTCTAGAACTCGTGATGTGCAGTCTAAAGGGACTCAGAGACTTTCTAGAACTCGTGATGTGCTGCAGTCTAACTCTCACAAATCCACTGATCAGGTTTGCGGATTCTCTGTTTCTCCTATGTCCTCACCTGTTTTGTAATCCTTTAGTGAAAAACTGACAACATTCTTGTTTCGCAGTTTACTGTTCTACAAAATGGCTGCTGGCAAAAGGTTAACTTCGGAAAGAAACAAGCTCATTTGGAAACATCGTCTGAGTCTCTTTTTCAGAAAAATTCATTAAGAAGCAAGCCTCAAAATTCCAACGAAAATTATACCATGGGAACTGAAGCCCAAGGACATGTGTTATGTCGTGAAGAAACCAAACACTCAGGTAACTTTTGCTTAGCCTTGTTTAGTCGAACCCGTCTTGATGAGTTATATGTTTGTCAACTTCCGTTTTTGTCTTTTTTTCTTCTTCTTGTTTTTGGCACCCAGTTTGACTATAGTATGTTCATATTGTAACTTGTATTTAGAGCTAGGCTGAAACTTTGGGTAAAGTCAGTCCTTAAGTTAACTCTACATTAGCTTTTAGAAGGCTTTGGTGTGCAGAACATAGAGTTGCTATGACTTGTGGAGAATCAAAGAAGTGAAGGACATGTATGAGATCTGGTCTGCTATCTATTTATCACCTGACTCGCACATGAGAATGTCTTATGTTTAAAACTTGTGTGCTTGTCTGCCTGATTGTAAATTATATTAACTCTAGAGTCTAAACTCTGGCCTCCGATGGTTTTTCTTGTATTTACAGAGGCGTCAGGTCAAAATTTCATAGAAGACGACGGAAAAGAAGAAGAGAAGGGAGAGGTGAGCAGAAAACGCGAAAGAGAAGCAAATACTGATGATAGTTCGTTGAAGGAGGATCAGGTAAATATAGATAAAGAACACGTACCAAACAACTTCACTTATGCTGGTGAAGTTTTTCTAAAGAGGCTGTTACATATTCTCAGGTTGTGCCGGTAAGGATGGTGAAGCCCAGAATGTGAAAGCATTAGGAAGTGTAGATGAACTACTACTATGAATAGAGATAAAGAATAGAAGGTGTGGGTTACGAATGTGGAGAAGGTTTTGTTTGTTGTATAGAGTGAGGCTAAAGAGAGCCTTATAAAGGGATCTAATGGGATGAAAATAGCATTGGTTTTTTTTTTTGTGTCTCTTTAAATTTTGTCTATGTTAACTAGGGAAAAAAATATTTGATAGTAGTCAGTAATTAGTATGATCGGCAATTTATATTCTTTTTCTATTTTATTTCATATATCACTTTTTTACTTTATTTCTTTCTCTGTCTCCAGTTTTTAGAACATTGTTTTCCAATGATTTTATAAATTCTTTTATTAGTAATTGGTTTTTTATACTTTGCTTTTTTTTTTTATCTTAGTGTCAAGATAAATTTAACGTAGAAACATGTGTACAACTTGTATGTTTTGTATAATGTAACGATTTGTCGAGGGGACTGATATGATAAAACATACGATTTTTTTTTATTTGAATGGCGTTTTATGTAAACAGATGTATCCAAGAGTAGAATACTTTATTATGTAGTCTAGCGATTTATATCAGCAATTTAGCAATTCATATTTATATCAGCAATTTAGCAATTCATATTGGCGAAAGTGAGAATTTTAAACCGTTCAAGGTGAAGCTTGCAAGGAGCATGGATCTCGACAACGACGACGAGGATGATGAACTTATACAAATGGAATGTTTGATACCCTTTTTACCACATTTATCTTAGAAAAGAGTTTTAATTAAGAAATAATCAGTCGTTTTAAGGAATTTGAAGTGTTTAGAGCGAGAAAAAAAATTGTTTATTAGAGAAAACCGAAGGAGCATCTTTTGAGGTTGTTGTGAAAAAATTTAACAAAATCGTTATCCCTTGGATGTGTACAAACATCGTAAATCCCTTAGCGGGAAGTGGCTTGTTGCACACGTAAAAAGGTTGAGCGGCAAATAGGGTTTGTGTTATTGCGTGTTGCTCGGTAATGAATCAACAACCAGACCAATCGTTTTCCAAGGATGTGTCTTATAATAGTGACCGGTTTTGAATTTAGAGATCATGCGTTACCATTTTTACTTGTTTCTTTAACCAACAATTTCTATTATTGATAATATGTCCTCCGGATCTGAAGCAAAATCCTTAAAAACAAGAGTTGGCCTAATTATAGACAAAGTATGTTTAAGGGAAACCGTTGGTGATTGCAGGATGAAAACCGTTGTCTTATTAATAATACAGCTTTGTGTCCTCCTTGAGCCCTCTCATGCCCTTCTATAAGCAGCCTTGGACCTTTTCCAAGGTTTTTGTTTTAGCCATGGCTAAACCTCCGTCCTTTGGCTGCTGCTTCTTCCTCTTATTCTTCTTCTTCTTATCTTCTTCCTTTGTCTCATTTGCCCTGACCGATACAGAAGCTGCCTTCATTGTGCAGCGACAGCTCTTGACGTTACCAGAGAACGACGAACTTCCTAATGATATCGAGTATGAGGTTGATCTCAAGGCTACATTTGCCAACACAAGGCTTAAGAGAGCTTATATAGCTCTTCAGGCTTGGAAAAAGGCTATATTTTCAGACCCGTTCAACACCACGGCAAACTGGCATGGCCCCCACGTGTGCAGCTACACCGGTGTGGTTTGTGCGCCAGCTCTTGATGACTCTGATGTCACGGTTGTAGCTGGTGTTGACCTCAACGGTGCCGATATCGCTGGGCATTTGCCTGCTGAGATTGGTTTGATGACGGATGTTGCCATGTTCCATTTGAATTCGAACCGGTTTTGCGGGATTATACCTAAGAGTTTTGAGAAGCTGAAGCTAATGCACGAATTTGATGTCAGTAACAACCGTTTCGTTGGACCTTTCCCTAAGGTCGTCCTCTCTTGGCCTGATGTCAAATACTTCGACCTTAGGTTCAACGATTTTGAAGGTCAAGTCCCTCCGGAGCTTTTCAAAAAACAACTTGACGCCATTTTCTTGAACAACAATAGATTCACCTCGGTGATACCTGAATCTCTTGGGGAGTCTCCAGCCTCGGTTGTGACTTTTGCTAACAATAAATTCACCGGATGTATCCCTAAGAGTATTGGAAATATGAAGAATCTCAACGAGATTGTTTTTATGGACAATGGTTTGGGAGGTTGTTTCCCGTCCGAAATCGGAAAGTTATCGAATGTAACAGTTTTCGATGCAAGCAAGAACTCGTTCATAGGTCGTCTACCGACTAGCTTTGCCGGGTTAACGGGTGTGGAGGAATTTGATATCTCCGGAAACAAACTCACAGGACTTGTACCGGACAACATTTGCAAGTTGCCTAATTTGGTGAACTTCACTTACTCCTACAATTACTTCAACGGACAAGATGGTTCGTGTGTTCCAGGTGGTGGACGCAAGGAAATTGCATTGGATGACACACGCAATTGCTTGCCTGCTCGACCTGACCAACGATCTGCCCAAGAATGTGCGGTCGTGATCAACCGCCCAGTTGATTGCAGCAAGGACAAGTGCGCTGGTGGCGGTAGTGGTGGCTCTTCAACTCCATCCAAACCATCGCCGGTTCCAACGAGGCCGGTTGACAAACCATCGCCAGTTCCAACTAGGCCGGTTGACAAACCATTGCCAGTACCAACTACGCCGATTCACAAACCATCGCCAGTTCCAACCAAACCGGTTCACAAACCCTCGCCAGTACCAACCCCGGCAGTTCCTGATCGACCGGTACAATCACCAAAAGAGTCACCCCAACCGGATGATCCTTATGATCAATCTCCAGTGACAAAAAGGCGCAGCCCTCCTCCACCGGTGGTTCATTCTCCTCCTCCGGCTCCGGTGAACTCTCCGCCGCCACCAGTTCACTCTCCACCGCCACCAGTTCACTCCCCACCGCCACCAGTTCACTCCCCACCGCCACCGGTTCACTCTCCACCGCCGCCAGTCCACTCTCCTCCACCACCGGTGCATTCGCCACCGCCGCCGCCTGTACATTCTCCTCCACCTCCAATCTACTCTCCCCCACCCCCACCCCCGGTATATTCCCCGCCACCACCGGTTTATTCGCCACCGCCCCCTCCGGTTAACTCACCACCGCCACCGGCCCCTGTTCACTCCCCGCCGCCACCAGTCCACTCACCACCGCCACCTGCACCTGTCAATTCACCGCCGTCAGAATCTCCGCCAGTAGTATACTCTCCTCCGCCAAGAACGCCGAAGATCAACCCCCCAGCAGTTCAGTCACCACCACCAGCACCGGTGGAAAAGAAAGAGACGCCGAAGGCTGAAGCACCAGCTCCAAGTGATGACGAGGAATTCATCATACCGCCGTTCATCGGGCACCAATACGCATCGCCACCGCCGCCAATGTTCTCAGGCTACTAATATTATGAGTAGCAGCTCTGTATCGTCTTGGACTAATTGTAAAACTATAAAAAAGAAAATTTGAGGAAGAAGAAGAGAAGAAACAAAATACAAAAAAATCAAAGAAGGGTAATGACTAATAATAATGAATGGTTTTAGAATTGTTGGGCCTAAAAACGGATATCAATCTACTTTAAAAGGCCTTATAAGTTATTGGGCTTCTATAAACTTATGTTTCAGATGCTAATCAATAGTACAAAAGCAAGAAAAACGAACCTTTGTCATTTATTGCAAATCTGTAAAGAGCCATGGAATGTCATTAGACCCGACAATCAACAGAAATAGAAAAAAAAAAAAAAAAAAAAAAAAAAAAAGCTTTTTGTCTTTACGTCGAAGACTCAAACTGTGTATCTGCCTGACTTCTCATCCATGTGCAGTATCTCATTCATTAATTGTGTTCCGTGACCATCCTTCTTCTTTTTCTGGGCATTGCAGATATCGTTCTATTTTTAAATTATATTTTATTTAATCAAAACTATTTTATTTTCTCAATTAAAAAGGAAAAAAGACTTTATTATGAGGACATAAACATAATACTAATATTTCTGACATTACATTTTTCACCTACTACTAGTCTACTACAATGCACCAAGGTATTTTATTATTCGCAACACTTTTTAAATATTTACAAATTTTAATGTCTTTAATTTCAACGTTTATTCTATGTAAATATGAACATTTTTTTTTTCTATTAACTGATAACGACATCACTGTTTTGTATTATTGTCAGCCAACTAACTCATTAATTGGAGATGCTGTGGTGTGTTACATGACTTTCGTCTTAATTTATACAGTTTAGTATACTATTTTTTCACGTATCTACTACATTACATACATACATACATACATACATACATATATCTATTATATATTGGCATGCGCAGTTTTGGTAATGGTGAAATTGAATTATGGAAAACTTATAGACGCATGGCTAACTTTGTTCAGAAAACATTGATCAACTACGCAGTCTGTTTTATATTATATACGTATATATATATGTTTCGGACTGCTTTTGTTTTTTGGTTTCAAGAAACGATGAGAGAGCTAGTCAACTCGTAAACCAACAATAACTCGTTTAGTATATGGTCGGGGTCGTATCAACTGAATTTTAATATGTGTTTACGTAAGTTGAGAAAGACATCACAATTTTGCATTAAGGTTTAAGTTACATCTCCTCTCCCAACTTTAAATGATTGAGTTTGTTGTTCCCACCAAATCAGCTAGCTTTTGGTATTTAACGTGTGAAAGACTATACAAAACTCTTAACTACTCTATAACCAAAAACATTATAAATTAATAATACCTACCAATTACACTGTTCGACTTTTCATTGGGTTGCATATCAAATTACACTGTTCGTTATGAAGTTACAATTTAGCCCCAGAAAGAAAAAAAATTGTATTTTCATACATCAGATTTAGTTTTAAAAAGTATCAAGAAATTAATAGTATGATTTACTTGTTTATTACTATACTAAATCAATATCTATATATCTGGACAGGTATAATTTGACTAATGTATCATTATCATGGGTAAAAGAGGAAAAGAAAGAACCTAAAACTCTTTTCGCGATATTCGATGAACTTGGACTTATATGCAATGATATACCTTTATCTATAAAAAATTTCGTGGTGGTGTAAGGAAATTTATATTCGAAGATTTCAAAGTCAAGTATACAAATTACAAACAAAACAAATAATTGAAAAAATAAAATAAAATATATACATGTTGCTTTATAGGGTAAGAAACAAACATATTGTAGATAAATTGTAGAACTTTGAAGGAGGTAGAATTATAGTATTTTAAAATAGGAGTTAAACACAAGAGAAGACAATTGCGCAAATGCCTAGTAGTTGTTGCCTCATTACGGAGATAGTACACACATTAACCGATTTAACGAACCATCTTCTCTAATAGTATTTTTTTTTTTTTCCAATAATGAAAGAAAAAGTCATGCAGGTACTGATTCATCATCAAACCCAGAATACCAAAGGTATGCGTCTCCCCCTAAGACAAATATTCAAGATTATCATATTCATTAATTAATTGAATAACTTGCTGCCGTGAAATACTTTAGAAAAATATATATATAATAACATGATGAGGAAGAAACATTGAAAAGTTTAACTAATTTTTTGGTAGAACCTGGATTACTTAAAGGGGCAAATTGTTTCCGATGGATGATGCACGTCTTCTTCTTCAATCAAATTCGATATTACTTTGATTAAATATATATTATTAAACCTTTTCTTTTTTTTAATTCTGCAAATTGTTTGGTTAGTAAGATAATCCAAAGAAAGAAAGAAACGATCGAGTTCAATAAAAATCTGCAAATGAGATTGAAAGAAGAAAGATTTAAAAGTATCTTACATAGGTTACAAGAAGAATCAACAAGAGTTATTAACACCTAAATACGTATCTACAGGAAATAAAAAAGAAAAGAGAGAGAGAGAGAGAAAGAGGAAGCAGAATTATAAACATTTCATGAAAAAGAAAAGAAAAGAAAAGGGTTTTAATAAATGAGAGAACTCTTAAGGGAGAAAGCCAAAGAGGAAAGGAGAAGGGTAAGAAGCAGGATAAGGGAGAAGGCCATGGCGGAGGAGAGGAGGAGGACGTGGGGGAGGAGCTCGTTGTTGCCGCATAACAATCTGGACTGCTTCAGCCACCACCACTATAAACTCCATACCTAGCTTCATTAGCTCTATACACAGCTCTATCCTTTTTATCACCATTACTTATTCTCTCGATCTTTCTTTCTTGTAAATGTTTTGCTTTTTTTTGTTTGTTTATGAAGAAGAAGAAACTATCACTTCATCTTCCTTTTACAACCTTTGTATTTATCATATCTACAATCTCTAAGATGGCGTCCCGTCCCCACTCCAAATGATATTTTCAAATATTTTTTTGGTTTTTTGATTGAGACTATTAAAAAAATAAGAAAAAAAAAATAAGGAAGAAGATCACTTTTTTTTTTCTTTACGGCAAGGAAAAATAAATATAGTTTTTATTTGTTTATTATTCAATCACTATATATATATATATATATATATAGTATAGTGATATACGTTAATAAATAATTTATCAGGATTGTTATTTTTCATTTTGGTTCCGACCGAAGTTTTTTATATTTCTTTGTTAATAACAAATTATGGTAAGAGGATGTGGCTTTTGGAAGCTCCCAAAGGACGAGAGAAGAATCTTCGCTTCTTTTAAGTTTTAACCCACCAAAAGGACTCTCTCTAAAAACCACCGACAATTTTCAGTGAAACCCCAAACATATATTCACCAGTCACCACCACCACCCTCCTAATTTCTGAATAATTTACGTCGACGACACTATACGACATTAATCTTTTCTATTCATTTTTTCTCTTCTTGGCAAAATTACTCTTTTTCACTTTCCTTTTTTCATTAATGCTTCAACTTTTTTATTTTTGGCAAATTTTTAATGTCTTCCCTTTTCTTTTCCTTTAAGTTCTTTTCTTTTTTTGCTTTTTATTTCGTTAATAGTATATGACACATTATCTAGATACCATTGGAAAGGAAAGCAAAAAAAATTCAAGCTACTTTTGAGTAGCTAGCTAAGATATGATTTTTTTTTTTTTTTTTTGTCAAGAAGATATGATTGTTTAAGTTTCGGTTTTAACTTGCCGAAAATAAAAAAGAAGAGAATGTAAATTGAACAGGATCATTTGAGGTCTCTCCATTAGCTTGTCGTTTTAATCGTTTTCACTATGTATGGGGACATATCCTAACAGCAATACAAACGGTCGAATCCTCATAATAGAGATCTCTCCCCCACACTTTGTCGAATAAGCCAAACGCATACCATATAATCAGTCCTTTTCAACCAATTGTAACAATATTTATATGTATATAATGAAAAGTAACAAGTCAATAATGCACTTGACTTTTATGATATCAACATAAAAATTTTATATTTTACGGGTCGATGTTTTTGTTTTGTCTAATAGACTGATAAGACGTCTTTTACTCTTTGTCCAAAACGGACAAAGAAAAAGAAAAATAGCCAAATATATAGAGAGAGTGAATATGTCAAATGAAATAAGTACAAATAGTTGCGACTGTAAGAGAAAATAACGAAAGATAAGAAGACAACAATATGGTGATATCAAGGATGCAGTTGCTAAAAGGCAGAGAGACAGATCTCATCTATAGCTCAAAAGTTATCCAGGTTATATGTTACAGTTAACATGTGACACTGTCACATAGGCCGACCATGTATGCTTCTTCAATATTTTCAATAATTGATTTTCTTTTTTTCCTTCCCATTTTTGGCATAATTAAACTGATTATATATTTTAAAGTAGGAAAAAATATCAAATTTCATCAACTCAACTTCAAATTTCATGAACACGTTATACTAGTCTAGTAGTAGTATATTATTATTCGAAAAATTATTTACAAAAGAAAAATGAAACTGTGTGATTATTGATAACATTTAACTCACATTCTAATTTTAAAGCCAATTTACCGTACGTATGTCCTTCAGAATATTAATGATCAATAAATGTGCTATATCCACATTTATGCGGGATTCTGAATATCTTTTTCTTGTGAGAGAACATGAAAACATCATAATATGCCCACTCTATTTACTTTTCTTATTACGTTTTTATGTATTTAGTTTAGTTGATCTTACATTATTACGGAATATAAGTTTATTTGCTTTTAGATTCTATATGTATGGTCTAGTTGCTTACCTTTTTAGTTGATGCTGATTAATATCATTTTCCCTTTGTTCAACTTCAACCAATTGGATCTTTAACTACAATACAAGATTAAATTCACTACATCTATTTTTAATAAAATAGCAATAGAAAAAAAGAAGAAGAAGCATGTCCAATGTAGAAAAAGTTTAGAACTATATCAAAACAAATACTAATTGATGAAAATGTTTTTTTTTTTTCCTTTTCAATTTTATGTTAAGAAAACACCCATCAATTGTTTCAGTCTTTTTTTTTTGCATTTTAAAGATTCAAAGTGTGCCCATTGAGACAAAGTTGGGGGCTAATCTCAATAGCAAACAAGACGACACTTTATTCTTCTTTCTTCTTCAACCTTTTTTTTTTTTTTTTTTTGGGACATTTTTTTGTAGCAGAATGCACCGTAGAGATGGTATCACATTGCATACACAATCTCTCCGCTACTGTCTATGTCAAGATCATCGAGGTCACTCTCTAGGTCTTCCTCCATATCGTCATCTATATCCAAGCTTCCTGTTTATCCCAATAACAAGAGAAGTTTTCCAAACATTGAGAAGAAGGCATGCATAAAGAAAATAAAAATAAAACGTTTGGTGTAGTTTTCACCTGTGAGATAATGGTTCAGATTCTGAGTCCCTGCAGGAGGAACAGTTGCTTCTGCAATGATCTGCATGATCTCTTCTATGCTTTGTCCCGGTTGTTCCGATTCATCAAACTGACTGGTCATCGTGTTATCGTTCATGAGATCTGCTGGTAGGTTCTTCAGAAACCATTCGTGGTTTCTTATTTCAGGAATTGATATCCTCTGCCAAGAAACCAACCAAGATAAGCCAATTCAGCAAACACATTGTAATCATACAGCGTGCAAGCTTCTTTCAACCATATATACTATAAAGAGTAGTTATACCTTTGCAGGGTCAGCAACGAATATTCTGGAGATCAAATGGCGACATTCAGGAGATATGTGAACATAATCCGGAATAGCGTACTGAACATTCAGGATTCTCTGAGCAAGAACATAACAGATTTGTTTAGGCTAGCAAGAAACAATAGTTACAGTGCATGTTTCAACTGTTGAAGCATGAAATGTAAGGCTAACATGTATAGTTTTCCTGAAATTCTTTGGCTCCTCGGGATCTTCGAAAGGATATGCTCCAACAAGCATGACGTACAGAGTTACCCCACATGACCAAACATCTGCAACCTGAATCAGTTTTGATGCATTTGACCAATTCAACCAACAATTCAAGAATCACCATAATGCTTTAAGAGCCAAGATACTCGACGAACAGAGTATAACGATTGTTTCATCAAGAAAAAACATGTTCCTTCTATATATATATAGAATACGTAAAATTGTTTCTTTGTATAATATATGGTTACAGTCTATATTCGTTAGTAAAGTAGTACCTTTCCATCATATTCTTTCTTTAGTAGAACCTCTGGAGCGATATAAGCAGGAGTTCCAACAGTCGATTTTGGCTGTGAATGCAACACCGACGACTGAAGAAAACATAAACAAAGCTTAGAGATACGAACAAAAACTATATACAAAATATAGTTTTTGAGATGGTTGACAAAGAAAAGATACCTTAGAATATCCGAAATCGCAAATCTTTAGACGAGGAGCCGGACTACCATCTAATAAGGTATTCTCAAGCTTTAAATCTCGGTGACATACTTGCTACAAAATAAAAGTTTATCATTTGTGTCAGCTCTTTTTCACAGAAGATGAAGAAGCATTGATTTAAAAACAGAATATTTCTCATCATTACCATAGCATGACAGTAACTAACTCCTGAAATGAGCTGTTGGAAGAAAAACCTTGCCTACAAGGTAATATTAATCTCAGCATTTTGGAATCTTACATTAACCATTAAAGCGAAGAGAGAGACAAGAAAGAACAAACCTCGTCCTCGCTGAAGCGTCCTGCATTGCAGATTCGCTCGAAAAGTTCTCCTCCAGATGCATATTCCATAACAATGGCTAAATGGGTCGGTGTTAATATAACCTGAAGCAAACATGGGGATTAAATATAGAGTTTCTCTTTAACTTGAATGTTAGTAATAAGAAAACAGCCTAAAGAGAGTTGAAACATACATACCTCTTTGAATCTTACGATATTGGGATGTCTTAAGGACCTGTGGTTTATTATCTCCCTTTTTACATTTTCATCTATCTGTAGTAAATCCAAAGAAACTCCTACCATTAATATCAAGTTCCACATTCGAGTTATAGCCATCTAAAACACCTAGAGCCTTCAAAACAACACTACACAAAATAAAAATAAAACAGAGCATGCAGAACAAAGAAACCATTTACTCATTCCTACATCAGTGATCAAAACCATCCATAGCTATAAATTATGACATTAGCAATCAAACACACATCTCTGATTGGATGATGAGAACACAAAAAGGAATTCTTTGAATTCAAGAACAACCTAGAGAGGAGTTGAAATATAAGGTAAAATGAAGAAAGAAAAAAAGGAACTGACCTTCTCACCTCTCTCGATATATTTAACAGCAACAAGCTCATTAGTTTGCTTGTCTCTCATCAATCTGGCAACTCCAAAGTTACCGGAGCCAATATCTTTGACGAGCTCATACCTATCGCTGTCGTGCATAATCGGCAAATCCATTGGACCACTCACTGCTGGCCGATCCATTTGTTTACCTCTTTTACTCTGTCTCTCTGCTGCAACTTTACAGTTTCTGTTTTGTCAGATGATGATGTTTTGTTTTGTGGGAGATAATATCTAACGTCACCTCGACATCCGAGGAAATGAAGAGACGGGGTTGTGAGGTGGAGTAATTTGAGCCGTTGAGGGGAGGGAAGGACTAGTGGGGTGATCAAGTTATGGTTGTGAGAAAGAGACGTTTGAGGAGACCCGTGAAGTATCTAACCAACAACAAGTGGGTTTCTTGAGATCCCTTTTGATCGCTCAATAATGAGAAGAAGAGAAAAGTGCTCGTGATCTTGAGCTTTGTTTCCCTCTTTCTCTCTATCAGCTCTCGTTTCCTCTCACCATATAGAAAAAAAAAAAAGAGAACAGCTCTCTCTGCTCTGTTTAAACCACAGCTTGAAGCAAGCTAAAACAAACAAAAGAGAGAGAAAAAGAGAAGAAGTTTTTCGCTTTTTGTTGAATTGTGATTTGTCAAAGTATGGGGACATCGAACGTAATGACGGACTTACCCTTCTTCTTTCAACGTTTCTGACAAACCATGGGCACATTACCGTGTTGGCTAATATAACTTCTACTCTTTCTAATAATTAAATTACTAAATAGTATCAAAGAAATAATAATTTCGATGAAGTTATAATGAACTATGGACTTAATTTTATCTACTTTACACTCGAATATATATATATATATATATATATATATCAGTGAGGTCACCTCTTCATCATTAACAAAGTTTTTTTTGTAAACTGACTAAAGTGTAATCATTACAATTATTAAAATGGTAAGAGATATTACAATAACAGATTTTGAGTTTAATTTTCATAAATTTGATTTAATAAAAGAAAATTGTTAAATCAAAGAATTAGTTTTTCAATTAGTATCATATCTGTACTAAAATAAATAAATTCACTACTACATAGCAATCCAGAAAGAAAAAAAACCCTCAATTTTGTACTTTTTAAAGGCTAATGGAGTAATCATAGAAACGTCTACTGCTCATCATGTATTTATGGCCACTAAAAAGATTTGCTTTCTATTTCGGTATATAAAAAAACATTTTAGCATTTAAAAAAGGAAAATAAAGAAAAAAGGTTGCCACAAATGTCGAGATGTAGTTGGCTATTTTGTCAGATCTTCACCTAAAAGTAGAAACCGATAGAGTTGCATTCATCAGCATTCGTAGCCCATCATAATCTCTCTCTATTAGTATTAAATATTCTTTCTCCACGATCCACATGACGCACCATTTCATCTTAACGATACACATATCCCATCCGTACAATAATATATTCCGAAAACACTCTTCTAGAAATCATTCCCAAGTAGAGACAACCCTTTTCACTCGACCTCTCCAATCAAAATATTTTCTATTTGTAGAAACATTTTTCAAGCATTCGAACAAACAAAAACAATCGTTACAAAAAATCCTACATCGGAATGCTTTCTACCCAAAAGATTGAACTCAATGCAAACTGTTGATGAACATCTGTAAAATCCAGTTCTTGCGTTCTTCCTGACTCGCTTTGACTGACGCATAAGACAATGCAAAAACAACTGGTACCAACCTCACAGAATCAATGGAGAAAGATCGGCCTTAATTATTGTAGTTATCAAGGCCAAGGTCTCTCAGTGCATCTGTTGCAGCGGCTCTGCATATCTCATTATTGGCCTTCGCAGTCCTTATCAGCTTTTCAATTCCATTAGCAAGCAGAATAGTTCTGTAGTGTGCAAGCAGACAGAAGTCGATATGATAAAAAGAATTTGTAATATGTGCATTTTGGTTGATTGCAAATTTGGAAACAGGGCAGTTTACCTGTTCTCTGCATTTCTTACAGTCATGTTCCTTATCATGTTGCAAGCGTTTCTCTGCATTAGGCCTGCTATTGGGAACCTCTTCATAGCTTGGACCGCTAGATCACCAGCTCCAGCTTCTATGGCTTTGGCTGCGTGGTCTGGTGATCTCAGACAGATTATAGAGATTATCAACATGACCTGAACCAACCAGTATATTGGGGTCAACCACAAGGACTATGCACTCAGACCCTATTGCTACACGAAACATTCTTCACTCGACATTACGTTCTTATATAGTGTAAAACTGCCATAGACGTGAACTGTAGTCAAAAGTATCTTCTCTAGACATGAAAACTGAATGTAATTAAAGGTTTTCGTTTGGTATTACTTACCTCTTGTATGATTAGAGGATCGTCAGAGAATCGTTGTGCGAGTTTGATTAGCTTGTCAAGACCCCGCTTCTCAACTATGGTACTCTTGTTAGAGTCACTTCCTGCCAACTAGAGATTAAAATAAAAAGTTTAGACAAACATTTCTCACATGTGATTAGAACGCAAGTCTAAATCAGTATACTTGAAGCGCCGAATTTAAGAATTTTGAATAAAGGCAGTGAAGACAATAGAGGCAGCATGCAGGACATGTTAGAAGCTACTCACCTTAGACAAAAGCGAACAACATGTCTTAGCAGCAGTTTTGTTGCCTTGCTCACCGCTATCATCAATACACCGAAGAAGTGTATCTATTCCACCAGTTTCAGCAATAGATTTGCATATTTCATCCTGTTTACAGCAAAACCAGATGAGGAACTTGCAATTATCTAACCAGTTACATGTTATGACACAGGGATTTCAACTAGGAGACTTACATTTACAGCAATTGCTTTTAAGGCAGTACTTGCTGACACCAAGCTATCAGAGCCAATTCCTGCCTGTAATGCTTCGGTGAGGGCAGTTGCAATCCCTAATTTGGCAAAAGTTCGTGCATAACCATAAACCTAAAACACATGAAAGCAAGAATATAGTTGATTTTGTGTTCTCAAAGCATGTCCAAGAATAAGCACATAAAAGACTATCAGCAATTATCTTCATGGTTTCAAACACAAAAAACAACGATTTATACCAAATGGTCAAAAAATTTCACCCTTAATTTTTCATTCAAGCAGTCAAAATTGGCATATCCCAAACGAATGTAATCCTACTTACTTGGGAAGCAACAACACGGGTGTCATCAGGAGTCAAAAGAACACATATAGCTTCATACAGAGCTCTAATGGTAGTTTTACTCTCCCTCTTCAGCACTTGCAGAATGAGTTCATCGATTTTAAGTTCCATGAATAACTGTTTGACAACTTCATTACCAGTTGATGCAGCAGCAACAACAGCAAAACCAGCATCCAACGAATCAGGAGCAGAGATCGAAGCACGTAAGAGATCAACAACAATATGTGGTCCAGTGCAGTTCCTGAATGCCTCTGTGCTCTGAATGTCTGCAATGAAATGACATATGATCAGCATCAATCACAATTGATAACACACAAGAAACACAAATTCGAGAAAAGGAGTTATACCACGGATCAACACAGCCAAAGCTTTCAAACAAGGAACAAGAATACGATTACTTGCGGGGCCAATCTTGATTTTGGAACACATCGAGCATGTTAAGTCCACAGCGCCATGCTTTGTCGCAATTGCAGCGTTCCCTGAGTCTTGGCTGCTACACAGCTCGTTGAGCTTGACGAACAAACTCGAAATCTCATCGAAATCCTCATGTCGAAGAGGTCCGTCTATAGAAACACTATCGAATTCTTTTAATCTATCCAAACAAGCAATTACGGGATTGTCCTTAATGCTACTTTCTCCAGGAACACAGGTGATGATCCCTGTGTAGCATAATAAACAAACACACACAATTGAACTCAACGCAGACTCGATAAGTGTAAATCCAGTTCGAGTGAAAAGGAAACAACAAATAGATTTGTTTTCTTTTTCAGGAAATAAAAGAAGAGAGGAGAGAAATGTTTACGGACCAGAGAGATCGACGCCTTGGAGCTTGAGAGTGTGGAGAGCGTCTTCGAGAGCTTCGGAGGGTTCCATCCCAAGATCTTCCACATTTTCCCTAACTAGATCGTCGAACGCCTCTTGAGATATTGCACGTACACCCATTCTCCTTCCTCCGCCGCTGCGATTCGATAGATCGGGAAATTTCGCTTTCAAATTAAGTTTGGAAGTAGAAAAGGGCGAAAGAAATACACTTCACTGATTTGAAAGCGGAAAAATAAATATATTAAAAAAAAACACCCAAGAGATAGTCATATGAATCGACGCCGTTTTATCACCAGAAGGGGTCGTGTTTCTACAATTCAGTCGTTCTTCTAAGACCACAGGCACTGTGTCGTTAAGAAGGTCTCGGAAGACCAATTTATTTTGAAACTTAACATAAACCACTCATCATTCTTATTTAGAGTTAAACCTTTACTCTCCGAATTTGTAAAACGTTTTTTCAGAGATAACTACTTTCCCATCATTTTCTTTTTACTGTTATAATAACATCTGGAATCATATTCTTTGTAAAACTGCACAAACTCAGAGGTTTCTATGATCTACCATTCCTATCCACAAGGATCAAACTGCACAAGACTTCTAATACATTCACTTTTCTGTTACTATTCCCTTTGCTCTCTTTCCGGCTCCTGAATTACTGCAGCTGCTAGATGTCTGATCTGCTGAGCAAGCCGTCTCCTCCGGTAGATCCCTACTAAGCGCAGAATCAGGATCATAGCTATCGCAGCGTAGTCAAAAACTGTCACTATTCTGAACCCACCTGTAGAAAACGGTAAAATCAATCTTGGAAAGCTTAAAGCCTTGTACCCAAAGAGGGCTTGGAACCACATTCAGATTTTTTAACCTGTCACTGCTGGTTTATGATTTGTGAGGTAACTTACCCGTTGGGATGAAATTAAACTCTGCGGCAGTGTAAATGGTACTCATGAACATCTGCAAACACCAGAACAAACTTAGTTTCTCAGCTTTCAATGAGGAAAGCAATGGCCATTAAATAACAGAATATATATCCTATGATAATGAGAGAGAATGAGATATGTGTAGCCTTGCGTGACCATTAGTATAGACAAGAAAAATAAGTGGGTAGAGATAATAACTAAACTATGAAAAGTAAATTACAGGGTAAGGTGTTCTTAACTGCAAAGATGCGCACTTCGTGAAAATACAGATTGTTCACATCTGTATCCATCATATGCCACACCATTCTCTTCATTAGAAAAGGTAGCTCGTGCAGCTTCTGAAATATTCGAGAGATGAATGGTTTTGCCAAGTCATTACAAGGAGGAATATGTATAAAGAGATAAGAAATGCATCAAACTATAAAGAGAAGCAAAACAAAAATCATAAAATCAAAAGACCTTACCTGAACAAAGCCAGTTAGACCTCCAACAAAGAGACGGTTATACCTACGGATCTTATCAAGAACCTCCTTCACTTCTTGCTCCTGGCGCTCTTGCAAAGTTGCTTCTGGTGACAGCTTAGTGATGTGCCGTAAACACATGGGACACTTGCAAGGCCTAGATATTGCAGCATAGTTCCAGTACTGTAAGATGCAACTTCCTGTACAAAATCAACTTGCCGTTTAGTGCTATTGCAAACAACACTCCATGGGACAGAAATATCGAAAGAATCAGCATTTACAAAAGTTTAATCAGTTGTGACAACCAAAAGGGTTACTCCCAAAAATCCAAAAACTGAAACCCTAAATCGATTCCAAACCAAGTAAATGACGTTTCTTTGGCAATAGCAGATAAGCAATTCTCACGTTCTACCAATCTTCCTCTAGCGATCAGAAGTATCCCAAAAGGAAACAAGCTTGACACTTCAATGTAGATGAAATAGCTCAAAAGAAAATCTAGAAGAAGAAGAAGAAGAAGCAAAAATCAAAACACTAACCGCAATACCAATGACCACAATTCCCTCGACAAGGAACCGTAAAAGAGCCGAAGCAGATCGGACAAACATCATCTTCTGGAGGCGTCTCGCTCTCTATCTCCCTCTCTCCACGATCCTCCGCTTCAATCTTCCTGTCCACAGCCGCCACGACTCCGTCAGCAAGCACGACGGCGTTCGACGACTCCACGAGCTCGTTCCGATCAAAGTTTTCCGTCACCGCGGCGGCGTTAACCTCCGGCAAAACATCGTCGGGTGTTACCTCCATGTCCTCCTCCCAAAGTGCTCTCCCTAAGGGGGAAATTTTACTTTCGCAAACCTCTTCACTTTTGGATTCTCTCCGTCTTGGAAGTTTCCTAATATACAGAAGAAAAAAGAAAAAATTGATTTGGATTTATTATTTACAAATTACAACAGTTTATTAATTGGATAAGTAAAAATCAAAGCGTGTTTTAGAACATTGAATGACCAATTTGTCCTCGCTATTCTCAACAACGTAAAGGACCCATTCAGGCAAAGAAGTCATTTTAGTTGGTAGTTGGACACATGTCAGATTCATTTTAGTATATGAATTATAATATCACTAGTGTTTAATTAGGGTATATTGGCCTAACTTAGAGCCGGACTTGGAAAAAGTAAATACCAAAATTCATATACATCAAACAAACTTTGTTTTGACTATAATAATAGTTGTTCGTTTAATAACAAATTAACAGTGATCACTTGCCTTGTTCTTTTGAGGTTCTGCATGCGAAGTTTTTTTATAAGGTTTGTGCGTTTCTTCATGCTAAATGTCACTTGCATATTTACGGAACTCATGATATCTAGAAAGGACCACGCTTCTTTCCTTGTTTTCACTTTTATTTTTGTTGACCTAAAGTTCAAATAGGAATTGGAAGGGATCATCTAATCGTATGTGATTAAGATAAGGGTATCCACTTATTTTTGTTATTTTGTATACGAACAATTTGTATTTCCTATGTAAATTGGGAACCGACTCTCTAACTCATCATAGTCTCTATAAATACAGAACCTCTATACACTAAAAGAGCTCATCACAAAACCAACAAAAAAAGAAGCAGAAGAACATAAAGCAATAAATTTAGAAACACATCAAAGAAGAAGAAGACATGGGTCGTCTCTCTGGGGCACGCAAGCTACTCCTAGTCCTCCTGGTTACTGCGTTTGTCTTCTCCGGGAGTGCTGAAGCCTGGAGCTGGAGTTGGGGTTCTGGCCAGTCCGGTTCCAACGGGGGTTGGGGTTGGAGCTCTGACGGCAACTCTGGCGGTTCTTCTGGCTCAAGTTCTGGTGGTTCAGACTCTAACTCGGGTGGTTCAAGCTGGGGTTGGGGATGGAGCTCTGACGGAACAGATACAGACTGGGGTTGGGGAAGCAGCTCTGGCTCACACCATTCCAGTGGGACTGGCACTACACGCAAAAGTCACAGCTCTGCCTCGAACCACTCGAGCATCGCTGGCTCTACACACAACAATCACAGTTCGGGCTCCAACCACTCAAGCATCATTGGCTCTACACACAATAACCACAGCTCTGGCTCAAACCACTCAAGCATCGTTGGTTCTACACACAACAACCAGAGCGCTGGCTCAAACCACTCGAACATTGATGGCTCTACACACAACAATCAGACCTCTGGCTCGAACCACTCAAGTATCGCTGGCTCTACACACAACCACGCGGCTCCAATACGTGCTGGAAGAAAGATTGAGGTAACTGTATGGAAAAGCGGATACGGGTACACAGAATGGAGTTCAAAGCATGGCCCTATCTACGTCAACGATGTTCTTGTTTTCACGTACAACAACAATGATCAACCCCAATCCAAGACGAAGCACCATAACAAGAAGAACGACGTATACTTGCTCCCAGACATGAGGAGCTTCAAGAGATGCGATGTGACCAGAGGCAAGAAGCTGACTGCACGAAGAGGTCCATCATCAGGAGGCTTCAAGTTGCTTCTCCGTAAGGTTCAGACTTACTACTTCGCCAGTGGAGACCACAACGACTGCAACCACAACATGAAGTTCTCTGTCCACCCGATTCCCCACCCTTCTTCTCACTAGCTCTAATTAAATCCACTTGCTCTTTCCTTTTTCTTAAACTCTGAGTTTGTTGGTGGTTTTTTTTTTCTTCTATTAGTAAATCTTTGTTACATTGGTCACTGAAAGTTTTATGGAATGATTATTTACTTAACAAAGTTATAGTTTTCTTCCACTGAAGTAAAGAAGTTCAATATGTTGAATTCAAGACTTAGTACAAATACCTAAAAGACTTGAAGCTGCTCAAGTTTTTGAGTTAAAGAAGATCACCTACAGTACCTTAATTAGCACTTACTAATGTTTGAGTAAACTATCACCTCATGTAGACCAGACCAGAAAACATATAACTCAATCGTTGATGGATTATATACTACTACCAAGTTAAACAGAATAGATGAAGCAACATTGTTCATCACACAAGTGAAGAATCTTGAGCCGCATAATTTTCAACGACACAGATAAGCCTAAGAAATTACTTGTGTCTTCACTTGTAGCTTCTGTATATGTATTGAAAGCTTCAGATCTTTGAGAGCATCAAGGCAAGATGGTCATCCGAGACCTCAATTTCGCTGTATGTGCCCAAAGAAGAAGCCAACCTCGCAGCCAATTGATGTTTACACTTTGCCAAAAGAACCAGAAAGATATAAAGAGTCAGTAGCAGTAGATACAAACTCTAAACCTAAAAGTGAATAGAAAAATCTTACACATTGTTGCTCCCCTCTGCTAACAACATCATAGAAGAAAGAATAACATCCACAGTAATCTCCTGGGAAGCAGAGATACTCTTCTCTCTTCTGAGATTCTCCTACAACCTAATAAAAAAACAACACAAAGCACAAAACAATCTTCTTAGTTAGATATCAAAACTATCTGCTTGAATAACCTGTGGGATGTGTTGATGATGTGAGAGACCTGCCTGAAAGATGGATCTCCCACTGGGTAATCCAGAGATTTTCTTCACACCTCTTTTGTCGATAATTCTGGTTGCTTTCTCAAGATTCTTACCAAATAACAAATGCAAGCTGAATTGCAAACACATACTTCAGTTTCTAACTCAATAAATCTCTTGCCTTGATAAGATTCAGAGGTAACTCAAACCCTAATCATACTCATCATCATGCCCACAAAATTATCAGACGAAAGAGCATAAATCAATAGAATTGGTTTGGGGGAGAACTGACATTGAGAGATGTTCTTCGGTTACTGCCATAAAAAAAAGGAAAAATTCAACGAAATTTGTTTTATTGAAAAACAAGGAAAGGAAGAAGAAATAAAGATAACCTGAGCCTGTAGATTCAATGTCGGACCAAACGGCGTCTGCTACCAAAAGAGTGACGCTCATCGTTCAATGTTGGCTTCCGTGGGAAAGTTTCTGAGTCTTCCATTTTTACATTATTGTGTGCTTGGGGATTCGCGGTTTGATTCGGTTTAGAAATTGTGGTCAACATTATTTATTGTTCAATCCGGGAGCTCAGTTCAATCGGGTTGGTTTGGATGGGGAGCGGTTTATATTTAGAAATTGGACCAAAGTTGAAGTTTAGTTCGATTAGGAAGTGATGTATATAATAATGTAATACAGGTCGTTAAAAAACAATATAATTTTGAAGTGCACAAAACGGTTTTGATACTAGACTTCTTACAAAAGTATTGTTTGTCAAAACCAAAACTGCTCTGCCCAAAAAGAAAAGGGTTTTCGTTCTTCTTTGCTGGTAAAAGAATATACAAATCCAACTTCCACAGTATTATAAAAAAAAAAAAAAATCTTCTTAAAGAAAAACAAATAAACAAATATGTAAACAAGTTTTCTCCCTATTAGGATCTTTTCCCAAGCAACCATTTTACCATAATCAAAAGAGTCAGTATAACACATTGAGTAACCGTCGTTGTTCTGCTTCATCAGCGTGTAACGAGTAGATATCTGGTGGAGCTGTGATGCCTCCTTGCTGAACCAATTTACTATTTGATGAAGAAGATTTGTTCTGGTCGAGGTAAACAACAATGACGCTTATGTCATCATGGAAGTGTCGTCGAATTCCTCTGGCGATCTTCTTTATGTCTCCATATCTCATTTCTCTCTTCTTTGCTGCTTCTTCGAGAGCTGCTCTAACAAGTCTTCGTGCAATCCCCTGTATAGATCCCAGAGAGTTAACAATCTATATAGCTAACAGAAAGAGAAAGACCCAAGCTCTTACTTAGTGCAGGGGAAAAACTTACACTTCTTGGGTGTTTAAGGACGATTTCTACTGCTGCTTCATCACTAAGATGTTCCCAGAGACCATCTGATGCAAATATCAGAAACAAGTCCTGTGGCTTCAGCTTCCTTACTATAATGGAGGGTTCGGCTGTCATCGCTGGTCTCCTCAAAGGAATGGGATTTCCATGTTGCTGGAATATCGGATCCCTGTAAAACTCCGGCTTTTTCAAATATACATCCCCAATTGATCTCGATACCTATAAAGAAATGCATAAAAAAAAACAATTCAGCCAACTAAAAAAAACGAGCTCAATATGCATGGAAAGGTCATTATCATATAAAAGCGACCAAAACGCAAGTCTCTTCGTTATCATGCAGAGCTCTGACTACCGGGAATTCATAGAAAAGCACAAAATCCACTGGGGAAGAAACGTTGCAGGAGCCCGTGTGACGGATTCCTGGAACATCGCAAGCCCCCATTTATATTAATGAAAAGAGAAGAAAAAAAGCCCATCAGATTACACCTTTTAAAATTGAAAACACAATCATAAAACTTCATCAGAGATGCTATGAAAATAAAAATCACGCAAGCAAGCAAGTAAGCAGAAGTATGCTATACCTGAATTATGCCTTTGATCCTCCAAACTCCGCGAGTGTATATAACGATTTGTGAATCATCGGGGTTAAGCGCCTTAACCTCCTTTCTGACTTCTTCAACAGCAACATTATGATCAGTAGATAACCTTTCAGCTACTGCACCCTTTTTATCATTAACATCTCCTGGGACAACGCTCCCAAGAACGGCTCTGGAGTCCCCAAGATTGGCAACATAGAGTGTGTCGTTAGAGATGGCACCAACAAGACAGCAAGATCCCACAGTAGCCATTTGCGGTTTCATCGGGAGGGATCGTTTAACCATATGACAAAACTCCTCTTCAGTTTCTTTAAAAGCTTTTTTAATAACATCTACAGATAATCCCCCATGTTCTCTTGCAAATTCTGCAATCACAAAAAAACAAAAACAAAAGCTTGTTAATTCACTAACAAGACCATGATCAATGAGTAGGTAAGATACTAAGTGACTGAAGGGTACTAAATCAATGAGTAAGCAAATTACAAAACCACAGAACGAAGCAAAGTGATAATATTTATAAATAAAAAAATCTCAGTAAGATCACAAAGACCAAAATTTCGAATCTTCTAATATTGAAATGATCAGGGTAATAGAGAGATCTCATAATATTATTGACCATGAAAACAGAAAAAAAAACGCAGCGAGAATCCAAAAAACCTAATTGTGAGAAGGAAGAGTGGGAAGATTACTGTGCATATAAGGAAAGAGATGTCTGTTAACGAATCTAGAAGCTTCAGGTCCGCCATGGCCATCGTATACGCCGACGTAAGTAGCAGAAGAAGAGGTGAAGACCTGGCTCTGATCTTCCAACCTGGAATTGGCTTGAACCACCGCAATCGAATAATCACCACCGGCATGAGGTCTCAATTCCGATTGCCAGAGTAAACCATCACCACTGGCTCTGCTTCCCAAACACCGTTCGAGAGGCCGTGCTAAAGCTCGCAACATCACACCCAACTCTTACTTAGGGGTTTTTTTTCAATACAAACAGTGTCGAGTAGAGACTGGAGAGAAATGGAAACAGAAAAAAAAAAACAAATCAACGGGGAATTTTGGGATTGGATTGGATTATGATCCGTTCGTTTTGATTGATCTGATCGGTTTTAAGGGGTTTGTGTGTTGAGTTGGTAAAAAGAATACCGCGTGAAGAAGAAGAATGAAGAAGAATCTGTAGAGAGAGAGAGAGGGAGAGATGACTTGGACTTCTTATGCCGTTCCTTATAATCCGACGTAGACTACGCGTCGTTCTTTTTAATTTGTTGCCGTGCTTTTTTCAATTCTACCATAAATCCCCGTCCCACTTATATATGCGGGTTTTTTCAACGTGTTGTTTTCTTCTCCAATTGGCAATTTTTTCTCCGCAAATAAACAATTTTTTTGGGTGGAATAAAGAAATAAAAAATCATAAAACGTCATTGCCGTATATTTTTGATAAGTATCTGTTTTTGAATAATAAACATATATTTCTTCTGGAATAATTATGTTTTCTCTAATGCGGACCAACCAAAAAATATCTAAAACCAACAGCTACTCTTACGTTTTTATTATAGAAAAATGATGTCATATTTATTTATATATTTATTTGAATTAATACCGTCCATGTTAAAATATTAATTAGAAAACTTAGGCCTTTTTAAATCTAAATTCATGTCAAACAAAAAAATATGTAAAATAATCACAACTAGGATAGTTTTCCTTCTTCTTAATAATTAAAAATATGGAATGTGGAAATGCAATGAGGTAAATCTCCAAATTATTTTATCAAAATTTGCAAGTCGTGTGAATAAGTAAATTCTATTTTGCATATTCTTCTTCTTCTTCTTTGTATTTTATTATATTATTAGTGGGAAAATATTGTTGTAATAATTTGAGAGAGAACGGGTAACGATGATGAGTAACGCTGCTGTAGCCAACGTGTAACGATGATAATATATTTGCTTGTCAAATAAGAAATACGGATAACTACTGAATACATTTTCCGGCTAATCTACTCATCTTAGTATTTCTATTTTATTAATTCTAGTTCTATTGTCACGTTACGGTACGGTTTCCTCTGTATGAATAAAATTATTATTATTGTTCTGGTCAAAACCCTTTGTGTGTTGTGCTAGATAATTGATTTATAAACTTGTCAATGTTACTGTTTATAAATTAATTTAATTACAAGTTGCACATTTAATTTGGTTATAAAAAAAAAAAAAAAGTTGTGCAGCTAATAGCAAAAGAAAGAAATTGACGTGGATCGATGGACTTGTTATAAAAGATACGCGGAGGCTACTCGAAAATACATTCTCCCAAGTTGTCCTTAATACTCTTTTGACGTTTGACATTCTTTTTTTTCAGTGTGAATGATTTTTCTCGCTACCTCTAATTATAATTTATACACATTGGCACTTGTGTTTTCCAAAGCGCACATTTTCTTTTCATATTTAACAGTTAAATAATACTACAAGTTTTTAAAGGCTAACGATAGTAATGAAGTGTTTAATTCTTTTTTTCAAAATTTAAATCACAGATTCAGTTTAAATGTTCAAATAATATAGAGAATGAATCATTCTTTTTTCTTACCATATATACACATTCAATGTTGCAGTTCATTCATATCACACCTTTATATTCTCAGTATCCATTCAAAATTGCAAAGTCATAATCACATCGTTGAATTAAGGCAAAACAGCTCAAGAGAAGCCACCAAATTAAAATCACAATTAACTTCCAAGTTCCACTCAAAACAAAACTTCTAGGCAATCAAATTTTATGTAACTAAACTCCAACCATAAAAAGGGCGCATCTTTGGTAATGTGTTGACTCTTGACCGGTAAAGAGAACAACAACAAAAATAAAAAATGGTCAACAAGAGAAAGATCTGATCATCAAAATTGTAAAACATATTTATATAAACTTTCATTTTTTTTGGGTGCTTCAGCTCCTTCACTGGATCGAAGGAAAAGCGTCTCGACGACTTTGGGGTTCGTTACTCACGCCGGCGAAGACTTTCATCGGAAACCTTACTTGATCGGACTCGGAAGAAGGCTAGATGAAGAGCAGATTGAAGAGCTACAAGAGGAAGAAGCTAGGGTTAGCCACTGTTATCGTCTTCTGCTCTCTCTGTTTCCTCGTTGGTTTCTATGGTTCCACTCTGCTTTCTCAGGTGTGGTGGGAAACTCGCTGATATGTTTTAAGATGCGATTTGAAGTCTCTCTGTCTCGGATTTGTGACTTAATCGATGGTTTTTTGTTTGGTTTGGGAATAGGATGTGCCTCGTGTTAAACCCAGGTTGAGAATGTTGGAGGTGATGGAGGATGGGGGAGACGAAGCTGCCTCTATGCCTCATGGTGTTACTGGAGATGAATCTGTTGGATCGATTCCGTTTCAGGTCTGATTTTTGTTGCTTATTTTTGGATTGGCAAATGAGGTGAAATCGTTTAGTTAGTGCTTTTTGATCTACTTGACCTTTGTTTTCTGGTGATTATGACTATGAGTTTTAGATTACTGTGTTGTCTTAGCAATTAGTCAATTGAGGCAAGTTCTCTAAAATTGGTCAGGTACTGAGTTGGAGACCGAGGGCTATATATTTTCCCAATTTTGCAACTGCAGAACAATGCCAAGCCATTATCGACAGAGCAAAGATTAATTTGAAACCTTCTGCTTTGGCTCTCCGCAAAGGAGAAACTGCTGAGAACACTAAGGGCACTAGAACAAGGTCTTTCTAGTTTCATATGGCAATGTCTTCTCCAATCAAAGATTCCTCAGTAAGCGTCATCATTTTTCTGACTTGTATGTGTTGTTACAGCTCAGGAACTTTTGTCAGTGCTTCAGAAGAAAGTACTGGTGCCCTGGATTTTGTTGAAAAGAAGATCGCAAGGGCTACAATGATCCCAAGGACACATGGAGAGGTTAGTGGTAACAATATGCATTTTTAGGCATTTATTGCTATGGCTTGGTGGCCTTTGGTTGAGTGCTTATCACCTTTTTGCTGTGACTTTTTCGTGATTGCAAAATCTTGGATCGTGATTCCTGAAATCAGCTTTACATTTAATACCGGCATGTTGTAAAAAGACTGATGATTTTGATATATAATTTAACACGAGGGGTCTGATCTGATGTTTTTGCAGTCTTTTAATATTTTGCGGTATGAACTTGGCCAAAAGTATGATTCCCACTATGACGTTTTCAACCCAACAGAATATGGACCACAGTCAAGCCAAAGGGTAAAATCCTTAAATCTGTCGTGTTCATAGTTTTCTTGAGAACCCGAGACCTCACTTGCTTTTACGCAGATTGCTTCCTTCCTGTTGTACTTATCCGATGTAGAAGAAGGCGGTGAAACTATGTTCCCATTTGAGGTCAGTTTACGATATAGCATTGTGCATACTTTACATAACTGTTCAGACCCTTGTACTTAGTTTTTATGCCTCCACTCAAACGCTCTTGACTTGACAGAACGGTTCTAACATGGGCACCGGATACGATTACAAGCAATGTATTGGGTTGAAAGTAAAACCTCGGAAGGGAGATGGTCTTCTTTTCTATTCTGTGTTTCCAAATGGAACGATTGATCAGGTAAACAAAGTTTGAACACATTTCAATTCTTCTCTTTGACTCCAATTCCCTGGATTAGCTATAGTAGTTGTTTGACTATGGTTGCAATGCTTATGCAGACTTCGCTCCATGGGAGCTGCCCGGTGACCAAAGGAGAGAAATGGGTAGCGACCAAATGGATCAGAGACCAAGACCAAGAAGAATAAGTTAGGTTTGTTTATCCTCCATTGATCTCACCTCTTCTATCTTTTGACTGAAAATCTGCTGATGGATCCTTCCGTGTACAGTTCTATGCCGAAACAGTGTAGCTATTGAGTTTTCTTATGATGTGGATGATACAAAATAGTTTTAAAACAAGCTACACTAGTTTAATATGTATAATTTACTAATTGATGGTGTATAGTTGGATGTTCTTTTTTTACTAACTGTATTAGGTAATAATAATAGGAAAGTATCCTAGTTAAAAAGAAGGATATATACATACGTGTATATGTTTTAGGAATTTACTATATTTCTAATTCCCAATGAGGTTGGAATGAGAGATAACTCCATATATAAAGATTGTAGGCTCGTGATCCGTGGAGACGCAAAAGAAGGTATTTGATAAAACATCTATTAAACCTACGATTGACAAGGTGACCGATAACCATGAATGATGGAGAAGAGCCACCGATGAAAAGAATTAGAGAAACTCTTATGCTATCGGATACAACTCTTATGCTTTCTGATGATGTGTTATTAAACTGCTTAGCCCGTGTCCCAAGATTTTATTATCCAACTCTCTACTTAGTCTCTAAGAGATTTCGTTCTCTCGTTAATTCAATGGAGCTTTACGCAACCAGAACCCTCTTAGGTTGCACCGAGAGTTGTCTTTACGTATGCTTACGACTCACTCCAGACTATGACTTACTACGTTGGTTCATCATCGACAAGAGATCAAATAGCTCTAGAAAAGTCCTGGTCCCGATTCCATCTCCCAATTCTACCATGTCGGGTGTTGTAGTGGTTGGTCCCCATATATATGCTATTGGCGGCGGATCGGAGAAGAATCCATCATCTAAGGTTATGGTCATGGACAGTCGTTCCCAAACATGGCGTGAAGCCCCAAGTATGCAAGTGCCTCGTGTGTTCCCATCTGCTTGCACCCTCGATGGCAAAATATATGTAATGGGTGGATGTGACCATCTCGATCCAACAAATTGGATGGAGGTTTTTGATACGAAGACGCAGACTTGGGAGTTTCTACAGATCCCTTCCGAGGAGATATGCGGAGGCTCTAAGTACCTATGCGTAGGATATGAAGGAACAATCTATGTGAGGTCTCAGGAAAAAAGAGCTACTTATAAGCTGCATAAAGGTAGATGGAGAAGGGCAGACATAACCATGAATACTGTATGGGGTTATGCGGCGTCACCATCATCTTTTTGCGTAATACAGAACGTGTTCTGCCGTTACGGTGGTCAAATGATATATTGGTACGATCTCAAAACAAGATTATGGAAATCTTTGAAAGGTATGGAAGGACAAGGATGGCAGCCTAAGTTGCCTTTAGATGAAAAGAATGTTAAATTGGCAGATCATGGTGGGAAAATAGCGATTTTGTGGGAAGAGTACGTGGTAGTTGATGAAAAGAAAATTGTTTGGTGTGGGGAGATTGCGCTCGAAAGCCTCCAAGATGGGGAAATCCGCGGGACGCTTGAGGGGGTTGAGGATTTGTTAACATCCACCAATTTAGTGACTTTGGTGCATGCTCTTACTGCTACGGTTTGGTGAATTCACCATATCAATAGATATCTCATATCATTCTGTTTTGAATTTTTTTTTTTTCCCTTTTCTACAAAATCCCTATTAATAAAGTAAACATATAGTTTACGTAAAAAAACATATAGTGTGCACATGCATCACTTAACTCTTTTTTTTTATGTGAGTTTTTAATTTGTCACAAGAATGATATTAGTTTTTGTGTGTGTGGGTGGCATCATCTGCGATTAGTTTGGTTTAGAATCATCATCCAAAAGTTGCCGACAGAAAAGGGAAAGAATCTTCTTCAATTTTTTTTTTTTTTTAAACTCTTCCAATGATCTTACGTTATTTGTTTTACTACATTTTTAAAAATAAAAAAGAGTTCATAAAAAGTGGCTCAAAGCTGGGTACATGGGACACGAACGTAACACGTGGCTCGTATTAAAAGGTTAATGTCACTGAGTTAAGTTGTACGTGTCAGAAACGATGACGTCGACTGTAACCAATGTGAACAAACAAACATAAATAGTTTGGTCTTTGACCGACCTGTCTACCTTTTCTGGTCACTCTCCTAGCATTTTAAAGATTTAAACTAACACTAATCCAAGTGATATAAGTAATCAATAACTAAGCTAATAAGTAAGAAGTAACACAATAGTCTTCATAAAAGATTTAGTTATTTGAAACAAGTTATACTTCTGAGCGCTTAATTTTTTTTTTTTTTTTTTTATAAAATGAGTGCTTAAATTGCAAAACTAATTCTGAGATTTGTTTTTATTTTTTTTATTTGACTAAAAAAAAAAAGCAAAACAAAAACAGAGCTCTGGGTTTTGTGTTTGTGTGTTTGGCTTCTCCCCAGCCGTTATATATAAAACCCCCAAAACTCTCGGAGCCATCACACGACAATGACCGGCGCATTGTTCAGAAACGCTGCCACCGACGCCGCTCGGATCCTTCGATTACAGAGAACAGCGACGGCGAATCTTTTCGGAAAGCTCGATCCTTTACTGATAGGAGGAGACGTCCGGCGGCGATTGCAGTCTCGGCCTTATTTTCGTACGACTCAGTTCCTTGGGAAAGCCAAGGAAACAGGTGTCTCTGGTTTCTGTTCTTCTTCGTCTTCGACGGTAACTACTGCTGGATTCATCGGTTGGTATTTGGGTATGGTGAAATCGCGGCCGGTTCTTACTAAATCCGTCACGTCTTCGCTTATTTACATCGCCGCTGATTTGTCTTCTCAGGTAACTTCGTAAAAGTTTCAAAATCAGAAGCTACATAGTTTACTAATTGACATTTAATATGTTCTTCAAGCTAAAGACTTAATTTTGACATTTTATATATATCTTCGTCGATTCTGTCTCATTGTGTATTCTAAAACAAAACACAAACGGTAATTAGAAGTAAGTGTATCTCCATGGTGCTTTTAGAGATTTTGAGATAGGAGAAAGACTACTTCGATTCTTAAAAATGTGTCACAAGGGGATGGAGTTAGCGGTTTTTATGTGAATTGAGTTGTTATATTTATTTGTATCGTTGTTGATAAATGTGACTTAGAAGCGGGTGTTTGATCTTTCAACAGACAATACCGCAAGCTTCTGTGGAGTCTTATGACTTGGTAAGAACAGCAAGGATGGCAGGATATGGTTTAGTAATCTTGGGTCCGACACTTCACTATTGGTTTAACCTCATGTCGAGACTGTTTCCAAAACGAGATTTGATCACAATCTTTAAGAAAATGGCCATGGGACAGACGGTCTACGGCCCTGCCATGAATGTTGTTTTCTTCTCATTGAATGCAGCCCTACAAGGTAAGCTTCTAACTGTACTAGGAAAATATTGCAGGTTGATATAGAGCAGTTTGTTTGATGTTACATTGTTTCTCTAAATGGCGTTTGAGAAGTGGGAGACTTGTTGTTAAGTGTTTTTATCCTAGGCTTATCTCTTGCAGACATCAAAGTCTAATTTTTTTTTCAGGTGAAAACGGTTCTGAGATAGTTGCTAGATTGAAAAGGGACCTACTTCCCACGATGTTAAATGGTGTCATGTATTGGCCTTTGTGTGATTTTGTTACATTCAAGTTCTGCCCTGTTCATTTACAGGTATGTGTGCTTGATTACTTTTTGGTTTAAGAATCGGATCTGGTTATTTGATTCAGTCCTTTTTGTCTTACCTTGAGTCTTGGTTATTAACTCAGTTCTGTTTTTTTTTTTCTTTTTTTTTTTTTGTGCAGCCACTTGTGAGCAACTCGTTTTCGTATCTATGGACAATCTACATAACTTACATGGCAAGCCGTGCGAAGCCAACCGCCATTTCAAGTTGAGACAGCTTTCTTGGAAACTCTTGTACGCGGAAATGTAGCGCAGAAGCTTTTACTAAAAGAAGCAGAGCATTCTTCAACATTCTTTTGTGTCATCTCTGCAGATTTTAGAGTGTAAAATGTAAAGAGTTTTGGAAAACGTACTGTGCATTTGGACATGTCTTGCACTCTTTAAGATATAACGTAAGTCTTTTTATTGATTCTTTTTGTTACAGATCCCTAGCGAGGAGATGCAGAGGCTTTGAGTACGGAATCGTAGCTCAAGTCGTTTAACATTCCAATGTGATATTTAGTGACTTTGACCACACAAATGAAATATTCACACAGATCATTTCAAGAAGGGGAATTGGCTTTCCTCTTTTTCTGCTTTCATTATTAATTTTTTACATCGTAGAGCAAACAAGGAAAATTAGAGGAGAGAATAACAAATCAGCTAGACAAATGGCGTTTACTTCAAAACCTCTATTACTTTTATCTCACTTCTACTTGTACAACACCAAGAAACTTGAAACATCTCAGTAGCTGTTATCAAAAGAGCAGTAACCAGACCAGAAACATTCGACAAACACAAATTCCACGTTCAATGGAGTAAAATCAAATGCTATGTATCCTAAACTACGGTGTTTGTTGCTCAATCTTTACTTGTCTGAAGCACGGGAACAGATCTTCTCCAAGAGTATAGGCCAATCTTCTCCAAGTATCTGAGGATTCAACTCCATACCAGCACGAAAATCTGACATCGATACATATGAAAGTCTTCTGCTTTGCTGTGTATACTGGTAATTCATCTCTCTTATCCGTTCATTCCCACATCTTGTATTAGCCAAACTCAAACAAGGCTGAATCAGCCTTCTCATAAACGCATCCAACCCGCTATTTAGAAGACTAACAGAGTCCATAGTTATCTTTATCCCCTCCATCTCCAATCTCCTCTCCAACCGACTCCTCAGCGTTCTTGTATCAGGTAGTTCACCGCTGTTCTCACAAGTCTCATGGTTGAAACTACTGCTACACATAGATACATTGGAAATAGACTTTCTAGTAGCGCCATTCCTAAGACTCATGGAAACACCAAGCGGAGCAGTAACAGGGCTCCGTATCTGAACACTTGGACCTCCTGCCATTTGTTCAACCTCTTCTCCTTCCTCCACAGATGCAACTTCCACGGGAGGTCTACTACCAAGAGAAAGCAATTCAGTAGCACTTTGAGCCTTGGACATCGACTCCTCGTTTGTCGTAGTTAGACTCTGAGGCTTCCCAAGTGGACCAAGTGGACTCGGCCTGTCTCTGAACTTCCTCGACCTGCATTTGCGAGTGGAAGGAGAGAATGCAGAATCCCCATAAAGCGAGTGACTTTGATTGGTCTTCGCATCCCCACTACCAAATCTAGCAAAGTCCCCAGCTTTCTTGGTGAATCTTGATGGCGGAGATTTAGCAACACTAGCATTCTTGATGATGGAACGTATTAGACGGTTATGGAGATGGATGCTTTGTCTACCGATGGTCTTGATACAGAACTTGTCGAATTCAGATTTGGTGATCTTCAAGGCGAAGAACCTTCCGAGCTGATTGAAGTAGCTCTCAGCTCTTTGATGCCCAAATTCCCGGAAAATAAGGGATTTAATCTCTAACGTATCTAGCCGGGAAGAACCTTGATCTTCTGATCCCATCTTCACCAATTTAACAACTCAATTACTTGTGTTGAACTAAAACCACATCTGAAAGTTTCAATTTTTAAGATCCCAGATTTCTCTTCTGAACCTAAAAAAAAAAACCCCCCAATTTTCAACACGCACCTGAAAAAAATCAGATTCCCAGAATGAATTGAAGTAACAAAACAATCAATTGTAAACTAGAAATTGAGAAACGGAAAGAAGAGTAAGAGAATCAAGTATCGGAATTTGAAGAGAGATGAAGCGAGAGGTATCTTCGCGAGATTGAGAACCAAAGACGGAAGGAGGTAGATGATTAGGGAAGAAACTTACCCAGTTGAAAAGGCTTCACCTTTGAGACCTAAAGGCAAAGAGGGATTTTGTTTGGTTCCCTCGTTTCATTTGATATCTCGCTTCTATTCTGTTCCCGAGTTCGTCTTCTTACCGTGAGAGAAACTAAAGAACCTGTTTGGACTTTGGACTACGAACAAACCCCACACGTGCGTTAATTTTAAGTAAAATAGAATAGCTAGCTTCAAATTGTAGAATTTATGTTTTAATGGTAATGTATGATGTATTGTTTGTTTTCATTAGTTGGTGATGTTTGTTAAATCATTTTGCTTCATGGATCGCTCATTTGTTATGTCACTTGTCTTGTAAAGTGGTAAATCAACTGGGCACAGCTGTATAGTGTGTATACTGCTATTCACATAGCTGCTAGTGGTCATCTACGGTGATACAAATTTGCACAAGTTATTGGAAACTACAATCAACAGAGTAAAAAGAGAAACTCAAAATCTTATATATGAGGAAGCAAGATTGGGGGGTAAAACCAAAGAAAATAAAAGATTCAATAGCTCAAAAAGCCTTATCGAAAATAGTTCAACATTGATCTAATCCATTACAATATATTAAGCTTTCAAAGTAAATCCAACTAAAATGATTAGCTTCTGCGTATATACACAATAGTATTTATTCTTTAACGGTATTGCATCAAAGGAAAAACAAAACCAGAAGAGTTAGTTAATAACATTTCCAAGAGAGTGAGAAAACATCTTGGACTGACATAAAAAGCAATCATCAACAATTTACCTTGATGAATCCGATCTCCTTAGCGTTGCTACAAAAACTAACACAATCTACTAATCTTATGCTACAAAACGAAGATGATGTCTTTTACAAACAAAATACTGCTAAAAGAATCAAAAAAAAAAAAAAAAAAAAAAACGTTTTTCTCGTACAGTTCTAAAACCAGATCAACATGGAGACTGTAACAGAACAATAGAGTAAATAACATTTATATTAATGTAATCTCTGCAACTATAACTAGAGTACACTAAAACTAACACAATTTCGCGCCACTCACTCATATCAAAATGAATTAACCAACACGAGCATATAGAAGATCAGATTCAGGTTAATGAAACACGAAACAGAAAACATTTAGGTCGCTTTATAACTCAAGAGTTAGAAAATATAACAATACCACGTACGGGATCCAGGTCCGTAATTTTTTGGATGGGAGTTCCACACGTTCGAATGACCCATGATTTCGCAGAGCTGAAAGCTAGAAGACGGCGACTATTAGTATTATGTATAGAAAGGATAGATATGTCATTTAATCTACCCTAATCTCTCTTGTATACAGTATATATAGTGTAATATTGTACATTGTAATATCATTAAGCATTCTACTCTACATGGTATCAGAGCCATCGTTCTAAAACCTAAAAAATTTTCCTAGCCGTTTCTTTTTCAACAAGAAAAAAAAAAAGATGTCAACCACGAGTGAGGCTGTTCCTATTGTCAACACTCCTCAACTCCTTAACATCAACATGACCAACATCACAAAGCTCACTGCTTCCAACTTCATCATGTGGAGCCGCCAGGTTCACGCTCTCCTTGATGGTTACGATCTTGTTGGTTATCTCGACGGTACCATAGCAGTTCCGTCCTCTACAGTCACTATTAATGGTGTTGTGGCTCCTAATCCTGCTTACTTGCTGTGGAAAAGGCAAGACAAATTGCTGTATAGTGCTCTTCTCGGTACTATCGCACAAACTGTTCAACCGCTCCTGTCCAAAGCCACATCCACGATTCACATCTGGACTACACTGCATGAGACGTTTGCTGCACCGAGCCGTGGCCATGTTCGTCAGATCAAGCTACAGATCCAGACGTGGAAGAAGGGTTCTCGATCGATTGAAGAGTATTTCCATGGACTCACTGTACGGTTCGATCAACTTACTCTTCTTGAGAGTGAGATGGGCCATGATGATCAGATTGAGGCTATTCTTGCTGGACTACCGGATGAGTACAAACCCATTAAGGATCAAATTGCTGGTCGTGAGACATCACCTCGCCTCCCTGAAGTGTTTGAGAAACTGCTCAACCATGAAGTTACTCTCCAAACTCTGGCTGATGTCGCTTCTGCCTCACAACCTGTGACAGCAAATGCAGTGAATTACAAGGGGAATAACAACAATGGAAAAGGTCATCAGCAGCAGCGAAACAAGCAGAGTTACCATGGAAATCAACCATGGCAGCAGCAACAGCAGCAACAGCAGCATTTCTCACCGAGACCGGGTCAGTCACAAACGCGTGGATATCAGGGACGGTGCCAAATATGTGGCGTCCATGGTCACAGTGCTCGTACGTGTTACCAGCTTTAACAACAACACGGCGGTTATTCCAACCAACAGCGTGCATCATCTCCATGGCAACCTCGGGCTAATATGGTGATGGCGCCTGGTTATGATGTTTCGCCATGGTTGATGGACAGTGGAGCTACTCACCATGTGACGACGGATCTCAACAACTTGTCCCTCCATCAGCCTTACAATGGTGGTGAGGATATTCAAATTGCGGATGGTTCGGCCCTCCAAATTGCTCGAACTGGTTCTACTACACTTCCTACTCCTCATTGTAACATTGCTTTGAAAAATGTTCTTTATGTCCCTGACATCAAAAAGAATTTAATATCAGTCTATAAGCTATGCAATGCTAATCGTGTATCTGTCGAATTCTTTCCTGCTCACTTTCAGGTGAAGGATCTAGCAACGGGGGTCCGATTGCTCCAAGGCAGGACCAATAAAGAGCTGTACGAGTGGCCAGTCAATATTGCTAAACCGAGAGTGTTCTCCACTTCTTCAACTCCAACGGCTGATCTCTCCGCTTGGCATGCGAGACTCGGCCATCCAGCCTTAGCTACTTTAAAAGCGATTATGTCTCAGTTTATGTTACCAACTTCTGCTTCGTCTCAACCTTTATCATGTTCTGATTACTTCATCAATAAAAGCCATAAGCTCCCATTTCATTCCAATACTATTGTCTCCAAGCATCCTCTTCATTACATTTACAGTGATGTTTGGACATCACCGGTTCAATCTATTGATGGCTTTAAGTATTACTTGATACTGGTTGACCATTTCACGCGGTATACATGGTTATATCCTCTTAAACAGAAGTCACAAGTAAAGGAAGTGTTCATTACCTTCAAAGCTCTTGTTGAGAATCGCTTCAAACAGAAGATTGTTGTCTTCTACTCTGATAATGGTGGAGAGTTTGTTGCGTTGAGGCCATTTCTTGCATCTCAAGGTGTCTCTCATTATACTTCTCCTCCTCATACTCCAGAGCATAATGGAATTTCTGGGAGAAAGCACCGACACGTTGTAGAAACAGGCCTAACTCTTCTCAGCAAAGCATCCATGCCACCACAATATTGGAGTTATGCGTTCTCCGCTGCCGTGTATCTCATCAATCGCATGATCACGCCTGTGATCAACAATGTCTCCCCATTTCATAAACTGTTTGGTGAGGTGCCGAATTATATCAAGTTAAAGGTGTTTGGTTGTTTGTGTTACCCGTGGTTGAGACCTTACACGACGAACAAGCTGGAAGCTCGCTCAATTCCGTGTGTCTTCTTAGGTTACTCACCCACACAGAGTGCATACCTCTGTTTTGAACCCGTAACCGGACGAACGGTAAGAACATAACTATCACTCTCAAATTAGTTTATAGATTAGTGCGAGTGGAACAAAAAAAGAAACGCATTTTCATTACCGATTAGGCCGAACAATACAGGCCCAATATCAAATTAAAGAAGATTCAAGTCCATTAGTCAAAACTCCAGTATATTTGTAATTTTTGTACCCAAAAAAAAAACATAATATATAATGATTAAAGAAGTATTAGCAGATACAATTTTTTTAGTTTTATAAAAAAAGAATTTTAGATTGTGAAATAATTTAAGTTTTAGATTATTATATTTTACAAAATAATCAGTAAAATCTTAAAAACAAAAATTATTAGTAAATTTATGGTGTTGGGTTTTTTTTTCTCTTTTTCGAATTTGATCTATCCAAAATAGCAAAATGAAAAAAGTTAAGCATATTACAACACGGAAATTCTCTGGAAATAGGTATATGAAATTAGTAATAATCACAATAAATATGACTTTTGCTATTTAATATTTAAAAATACTTGCAAATCATATAAATGTGAGAAGATTTCAGTAAAGTTGTCAAACTATCTATGATTGGTCCTAAATGATTACAAATCTTTTAAATTAAACTGTCAAAGTATCAAAGGAAAAAGTTAAAGAAAACGACAGAGACATGTGTATATATATAACGAACCAGGATTAGTCACATATACCAGCTTTGGTATCAAATTAAATGATTACAAAAACAATACATATAAAGTTTACAAAAAAATACAAAATACATATACACTATGAATGTTGTGAATTTATATGTAAGCTTCTACACACACATACATATATATATATATATATATATATATATATATATATATATATATAAGTTAAGCTCTATATATAAATATGCTTGAAATTATATATGTGGTGCATTGCATATTTTATAGTTTTGTTAAATATACTAGGATATGGGAAACGAAATTAATTGACTTTTCACATTCTCCATTTTTTAATACTAATTAGTTTTTTTTTTTTTTGAATTTGATAATTCGATGAATGCAGCTTATTTCTGCCTTGGCTGTTAACATCAAAATAAAAAACAATAGATATATTTAAAGTTCCTTGAACAAAAGTCAATCATAATTTAATAGGTGATAATAAAAACCCAAAGTCAACTGTAATCTAACAGGTTACAATTAATAACCGAATGTCAAAAGTATAGAACTAATTCGTTAAGAATATCCAAACTGAACCATATTATTTTTTGGTATGTATATGATTTTAAAAGTTAATCTTCTATTTTTATCAAGAAAATGCTGGCAACATCAAAAAGAGGCAATTTTAAAAAACATTTAAAACTAGAAATGGAAACAAAAATACAATACTGTTCTGGTATCAAATAAGTAAAATAACTGTGCTATATGTATCTCGAATATCACAATCTATTACAGAACTTTTTTCTTATATTTTTTTTTGACAACCTATTAGAAAAGTAATAATTACTTATAAAATC